TGATGGTTTGCTGGCCCAATTTCCAGCATTTTTGGGGCAGTGCCAGCTTTACATGAGCCTTCGGCCTGAGGACTTTCCCACTGACCGGGATAAGGTGGGTTTTTTGATTAGTTTGTTGTCAGGCTCTGCAGCACGTTGGACGACACCTCTGCTGACCCAGTACAACCAGGTGTTGGACAATTACGCCGAGTTTTGCCATCAGTTTCAGGCCATGTTTGAGGACCCTGTTTGAAGCCAAACAGCAAACAGACGTTTGAGAGAGTTGAAGCAGGGGCGTGGCTCACTCATGGATTATATTGCTAGTTTTCGGGTGGTTGCTCAGGATGTACAATGGAATGAGGCACCACTATTAGACCAGTTCCAGGAGGGTTTGTCGTCGGAGCTTCTGGATGAGTTGGCGCACACTGAAGGCCCTTGCACCCTTCAGGAGCTCATGCATTTGTGTCTTCATATTGATGCTAGACTTCAGCAGCGACGGGTGCGAGGACGGACAGAGACTGTATCTGTTTCGAGCAGGATGGTGCCCTTGGTGGAAGTGCCTTTGGAGGAACCCATGCAGTTGGGGGCTGGCCACCCTCACCTGACTCAAGTAGAAAAGAATAGACATCGTCGTGATGGTTTATGCCTCTATTGTGGCAATCAAGGCCATTTTGCGGCCAAGTGTCCTGTTAAGACATCCACAGCAGTGACACCTGCGGTGGCGGGAAATGAGCATCGCTCGGCCTACGGGGGTCTGCAGGTCGGGATGTAAAGTCCATAGGCCCGCCATCTTCACCAACCTTGCCACCCTCACCATCCTTGTCATCTTCGACATCTCTACCACAGTTGCTATTGGTGAAGCATCTTGTGCTGCCAGCAAGTGTGTTCGTGCCTGGTGTGGGAGCGGTGGAGATCCCAGCTTTGGTTGATTCAGGGGCCACAGCCAATTTCATGGATGCTCATTTTGTCAAGCAGTGGTTCATTCCTCAGCAACAGGTATCCCCACCAGTAATGGTGGAGACGATTGATGGTTGGCCCCTTTGTTCAGGACCTGTGGTTGCTGCAACCAAACCCCTTTGTATGCGTATTGGGCAGCATGTGGAGGAAACCGTGTTTTACGTTGCCGCAGTGCCTCATTTTCCGGTGGTGCTGGGTTTGGAGTGGCTACAGGCCCATGATCCAAAGATTGTCTGGTCGTCTGGAGCTGTGCAGTTCCTTGATAGGAAGTGTGCCAACCATTGCTTGCGCTCCTGTGCAGGGAGTGTGGCTACGCCCATGGACCTGGATCTACCTGCGGAGTTGATGGACTTTGCTGATGTGTTTGGGGAGAAGGAGGCGGACCAGTTGCCTCCGCCGGTGGGTCGGATATATTCCCTGTCAGAACCGGAGTTGGCTGCATTGCGGGATTTTATTGACAAGAACCTCCAGAAAGGGTTTATCCGGCCTTCTACCTCCCCATTGGCTGCACCAGTTCTTTTTCTGAAAAAGAAATTGGGGGAGCTACGTTTGTGTTGTGATTACTGCAAGTTGAATGCAATCACAGTGAGGAATCGGTACCCGCTTCCCCTCATCCCTGAACTGATTGAGCGACTTCGTCAAGCTAAGATCTTTACGAAGTTGGATTTGTGTGGTTCGCATTCATGCAGGGGACGAGTGGTAAACAGCTTTCTGGATGAGGTACGGGTATTTTGAGTATACCATGATGCCTTTTGGATTAACCAATGCCCCAGCTGTGTTCATGGATTTTATGCACGATGTTTTCCGTGATTTGTTGGATCAATTCGTGGTCATTTATTTAGATGACATTTTGATTTACTCAGACTTCCTGCAGGAACATTGGCAGCATATGTGGCTGGTGTTGCAACGTTTGCGTGATAACCACCTGTTTGCTAAATGTAAGAAGTGTCAGTTTGCACAAGCCACGATTGACTTCTTGGGACATTGTATTTCACCTGCTGGGGTGGAAATGGACCGGGGAAAAATTCAATCGTTGCAGGAGTGGGAACCTCCACAGCAGGTTAAGGATGTGCAACGACTGTTGGGGTTTGCAAACTACTACCACACATTTATTCCCCGCTTTGCTACCTTGACTGCTCGCCTTTCTAATCTGCTCAAGAAGGGGGAGAAGTTCCATTGGGGTGCTGAGGAGCAGGCAGCTTTTGAGGCATTGAAAGTCGCCTTTGCTTCCGAGCCTATCCTCAAACACCCTGATCCAGACCAGCCATTTGTGGTGGAAACAGATGCTTCCGATGTGGCTGTTGGTGCAGTGCTCCTCCAGGCCTATGCTCCCTCAGGCACCTTGTTCCCATGTGCTTATTATTCCGAGAAGTTGTCAGCTCCCGAGCACAACTATACGATTTGGGACAAGGAGCTATTGGCGGTTAAGGTTGCTTTTGAGACATGGCGGCACCACCTGGAGGGGGCTCGTCACCAAATTGAGGTTCAAACGGATCATCGCAATTTGGAACACCTACATACAGCTCGGACATTGAACCAGCATCAGGTGAAATGGTCCTTATTCTTTGCTCGATTTGATTTCCGGGTGATCTATGTTCCGAGTGGAGGGAATCAACGCGCTGACTCCCTATCTCGGAAGCCCGAGTATACCTGAAGGGAGGATAAAATCTTGCCCCGAACGTTGATTCTGTTGAAGCGGTTTGCGGCCACCAAGGAACCTGTGGACCTTCGAGTGAGGATTCAGGAGGTGCAGCGGCAGGACCCATTTGTGACAGCTCGACATCGAGAATTGGATGAGAATGGGAGACAAGAGACTCCTTGGGTGTATATTAGGGACCTGTTGCGGTTCCGTGATCGCATTTATGTGCCTGGAGGACCTCTTCGTGGCCTTATCCTATGTCAATGTCATGATAGTCTGGCGGCAGGACACTTTGGGGTGTTCAAAACACTGCCCCTCATCTCTAGGACATTTTGGTGGCCGAGACTTAAACATGATGTGTCGGGATATGTGGCGTCCTGTGGGATCTGTCACCAAGCCAAATATGCTCCTGGTGCACCCCCTGGTCTATTGCAGCCCTTGCCCACGCCAGAACGACTGGGGGGCAGTTTCATTGGATTTCATCATTGAGTTACCACCATCGAATGGTGCCACAACCATTGTGGTGGTGGATATGTTGACTAAAATGTGCGGGTCTTCCATCGGCCAAGATAATGGATCAATTGTTTATCTCCCTGTTTTCCGGTTGCATGGGTTACCAGACCACATGGTATCAGATTGGGGGGTACAATTTACAGCATGCTTCTGGCAGACCCTACTCACAGAACTGCAGGTTCAGGCGTGTCTGTTGTCTGCTCATCACCCCGAAACTGATGGGGGGACAAAGAGTGAATGCTATTTTGGAGCAGTACCTCCGCTGTTTCAGCAATACTCAACAAGACAGTTGGGTGGAGGTGCTGCCGGTGGCGGAGTTCGCTTATAACAGTGCTCAACATGCATCCACCCATGTGTCCCCTTTCTTTGGTAACTATGGGTTTCATCCATGACTTTTCCCTTTAGCCCCGTCTGATTCCCCAGTTCCGGCAGTAGATACGTTTTTGCAGGAGTTAAAAGCCGTGCACCACATGGTCCGCAATCAACTAGAGAGAGCCAAGGAAGGCTATAAAAGGTTTGCAGACCGACATCATCACGATGTTCCACCTTTAGCGGTCAGCGATCGGGTTTGTCTCTCTATTTGATATTTACCAACGACGTGACCATTGAAAAAGCTTGATCACCGTTACTTGGGACCTTTTCTGGTCGAGGCGGTGATCAATCCTGTGGCTTATTGTCTCTCCCTGCCACGGACCATGCGTATCCATCCTGTTTGTCATAATTCCCTGTTAGTCCCTGCCTCATCCGGCAGTCCGTATAGACCAGCTGAATCACAGCCGGCCCCAGTAGCCCCTCTGGGAGAGGAGGAATATGAAGTGGATAGCATCCGAGATTCACGCCAGTTGTGGGGCTGATTTCAGTATTTGGTGGCATGGAAAGGTTATGGACCAGAGGACTTCACCTGGGTCGATGCCACTGATGTTCATGCTCCTCGTTTGGTTCAGGACTTTCACGCTCGGTTTCCTCAACATCCTCGTCCGCCTGGTCCCGGGGGAGGGGGCCCTGCGGGGGGGGGATAGTTTCATGCCCCTGTGGAGTCTGACTCTGAGGAAGAGGAGGAACAGCCAACAGGGAGTGGGAGTGTGGCTCCAGAGGTGGTGGAGGAGGCTGGGGAAGGGCAGAGGCCGGCTGAGCAATCAGAGGAGGATCCAGGCCCATCCCCTATCCATCCTAGGTCACGCAGGGAGGAGAGGATCAGGGAAAAACGAGGTCTACTCAAGAGGAGATTACCATGATCCTCCTCGTGGCTTGCAGGTGAGAGCTATGTATATAAGTTTGCAACTGCTCAGTTAGAATTGCTGAAGTCAATTAGTGTTTACCTTGAAAGAGGCTTATCTTTGTTGGCGTTCTTCCCATGGACTTTTCTCAGTTATTTTCCTGGAGTTTATAATTAGTTATCTCGGCTTGCTTCGGAACTCTCATCGATGCGGTTTGTTTTGGTTTTCCTGTTTGCCTCATTATTTACTTTTGTGACTTTAAACTGTGCCTAATAAAACAGTGAAGTTAAGTTGAAGGCTTTACTGGACTTTAATATATGTTTTGGGTTTGGGGTAATTTTGAAAGACTACGGGCCATCACAGTGGGGATAGGAGAAAAGAAAAGTAAGAAAACTTCTGAGCAAATTAGTAAATTGTTTTGTTCATGTTGCAACTTCTAGATGTTTACTTTTTTGTCTTTTTCCATTTATATGTTAATTTAAATACTGTATCACAATTGTTTATCAGTTTGTTTAATATATCAGGAGTATTTGGACTTCTTCAGTCTGTGTTTAAAACAGAAAAGTGAAGTCTTTATATGGCCTCTTTATATGGCTTCTAAATGCTGCCATAATATTGATAAAATATTAGTAGCTGAAATGTTACTGTAGCTGCAGATAACTTAATGATTATGGTACACCTTTTTATATTTTTAGGACAGGAAGCTGACCAAAGCAGAACAGCAGAGGTTTAAAGAAGAAGCTGAAATGCTGAAGGGGCTACAACACCCCAACATTGTCCGATTTTATGATTCTTGGGAATCAACGGTTAAGGGAAAGAAGTGTATTGTATTGGTAACTGAACTGATGACATCTGGAACACTGAAAACGTATGTATTTCCTGATTTTCTCATTAACAGAATAAATATTTGCAGAATGTTTTTGAACATTGTTTACAATTGCCAGTAGTGTTCTGGACACTAACCATATTGTTGTTGAATTATCAGTTAGGCAGCTCAGTATCTACAACATGCAGCAAACAATTAAGTCACTTTATGGTTCTTCTAAAATATATCAAAATATCCAGCTGACTGAATTGTAGTTGCTTGCTATCTAACTTATATAAAATGTTTCATGGAAGTACAGTGAGTTAAGAAGCATTAAGTTTAAATGCGGTATGAGTCAGTCAGTAATTAATTCTAAGATTTAATTTGATATATTTTAAGTCTACCTGATATGGTGAATGGAATAAATAAAACAATAATGGAGTGTGATAAATTGTGAGCTAACTCTTCTGTTTTATGCTTGGTTCAGTTAGCAAGACTGGAAGGATGGATGGAAGCATTAGGAAAAAGCAGAGAAATTACTTGAAATTTCATGGCAGCATTGAAGATGAAATATATATATATTTAAATGCTTTGGTGTTTCTAGAATTACTGTTTTCAAGCTGATTTATGCCTTAACATGTTTTTAATTTGCTGTGTTATGCTTAATTCACTGCATCTAAATGATTCATAGTGATTTCAATGGATTGGTTATAGTCAAGAAAGAATTAAGATGTATTAGGATGATTATATTGCAAGTGTAGAAGCCCATTAAGTAAGTAAAAATTCTTTATAAAATAGTATTACAGATTACATGAAATTTATGCCAAGAAATTTTGTCTTTTTTTTCATGGTTTTTCTTCCTTTTACCCAAATATTAATAAAAATGAATTGATAACTTCTTGAATGTAAGAATATTCAATAAGAGAAAAGATAAATAATAAATATTAAAATGTCAAATACTTTTATTCCTGTATTTGGTATCTACTAGCGCTATTGGTTTTCTTTGTGAAGAAGATATATTTGTAACTACAGTAGGAGGATTGTCATGATCAAGCATTACGTTGGGTTTTGAGGCTTTCCTATGAACTGCAAAGCTCATGACCAAGTTTTTATATTAAACACATAAATCAACTAATCCCTTTTTGAAATTTAAAGCAGCATGGATTGGGATACAATTTGTATTGCCAGAGTTTTAGGGGAAAAATTGTAATAAGATAAAACAGTGCATTGTAGGCAACAATATTTGAATCAATATACCTCAAATGGACTAACTTTAAAAAATTCATCCAAACACTGGACTCCTGCGATTTAAATTTGGCAAAGTTGTGGCCTTTTCAGCACTGCCACACTGCTGTGGTCAGCTGTAATCACATGATTATCATTTTCAGCTCTCTGCCAGCTTCCCACAAGGAAAGTTGATAGGGAAGCCAACAGGAAGTCAAATGTAACTCCTGCTCCCATTGTTTTTTGTTTTGTTTTGTTTTGTTTTGCTCATCCATGGTTGTTCTGTTTCTCTGTTTAGTTTAGGAAAGCTAAACTAGTTTAATAATGATAACTTGGAATACAACTCAGAATTATGCAGTTCCTGAGATAAGAGAGTGTAACATTTTATGGAACCTCTGAGGATTGATCATGGTACATAGAATCTTGATTAACTTAAAACTATGTATTTATTTAATGCATAAATGCTTTTTGGCTTTCTCCAGTCATACTCATTTCTTTACAGGTATTTAAAGCGTTTCAAACTCATGAAGCCAAAGGTGTTGAGGAGCTGGTGCCGACAGATTTTAAAAGGGCTACATTTTCTGCACACAAGGACTCCTCCTATCATCCATCGTGATTTGAAATGTGACAATATCTTCATCACAGGACCTACTGGTTCAGTGAAGATAGGGGACTTGGGACTCGCTACCTTAATGCGCACTTCATTTGCGAAGAGTGTTATTGGTGAATATACCGTAAATGTGTTTGGTATTTCTATTGGGCAGCTGCTCTCTTTGTCTCTTTGCCATCTATAAAGACAGGAATCTGCAACGACATATAAGTCAAAGTTGCTTTACATTGTATAGTTATTAAAATATTCCAAAGTTAAAATAGATGTCAAAAGATACATCAAGTAACAGGAAATATAATGATAGTGCCTTTAACCTGCAGTCACAATATAAAGTATATAAAGAGCTTTTTCCAAGAGAAAATTCTCACCCTCAACGTCTAATATAATAGAGTAGCATAGTGTAACCACAAGGCACACTCAGTCTTAATTGGTCTATTTGGATTTCCTCTGAAGTACTTTTCTTTAAAACAAATATATATATATTTATTTATTTATTTGTTTGTTTTCTTAAGTTTTCGCAGGTACTTACATGTATGGTATTCAGCTTTGTTCAGGTATTTTCCCACGTCATTATAGTTGTGCTTTTAAAGTTGTAGCAACCTGAAAGCATGAATAGAAGAGATGATTCCACCAGACTGTCAATTATTTGGAAGCCTGCACTCACAAACAAAAAAATCTCCACACTACAAGCCAGGCAAACACCTGCGCACAAACAGATCCCCCCTGATATCTCCAGCTCAAACACACCCCAACCAGGCACCCAGATGAAACCTAGCTTCCTAATAAGTGACAGCCATCCATTTACTCGGAGCCAAGCTGCACTAAAAGCCTCTAATACAGGAACACAATGTTGCCAGCCAATCAAGACAAAAAAAAAAGCCACAAAACAGACAGAAGATATTAGAAACACCAATCAAGCAGAACACAGCAAACTCCAAGACCAATAAACACAGACCAAGACTCCCTACCAATCAGGATGAAGAAAAAACCATTCTGGCACAGCAGTAGGCTAGCCCCAAATTTAAAACTGAAACAGCTGTGAAAGTCTGACTCACAGACGAACACAATACAGAAGCCTGATGATGGCAGATGAAATTCTGCCGAAACGTTGCTACAACTTTAAAAGCACAACTACAATGACGTGGGAATATACCCGAACAAAGCTGAATTTTATATATATATATAAAAATATAAAAATATAAAAATATAAATATAATCTATATATAAATCTAAATATATCTCTAAATCTATATCTATAAATCTATATCTATCTATCTATATCTATCTGTCTGTCTGTCTATCTATAAATCCTGCTTCAGCAACTGGTACTTCCTGTTTGCTTGTAGGTAAGAATCCATGCTTGGAAAACAAATTCATTATTAATATATTGAATGTTACAACATAGAAATTAGCAACTCTTGGTAAATATTCATTGAGTGACTACAATCTAATGTGACTGTAATAACCCATTGGTTTTTCTCATCTTTTATTTCAGGAACTCCTGAATTCATGGCTCCTGAGATGTATGAAGAACATTATGATGAGTCAGTGGATGTCTATGCTTTTGGAATGTGCATGTTAGAGATGGCAACTTCTGAATACCCATATTCTGAATGTCAGAATGCAGCCCAGATCTACAGAAAAGTAACCAGTGTAGGTGCACAATTCACTTCTTCAAGAAGGCAAACCTGTATAAGATGGGCCTAAAGCAAATAAGCCTATTGTGCTAAACCTGTATTGGTCCTGTTGTCATGCAAAGAAGCTACCAGCCTTATTCTAGTATTTTCTAGATTTTTCTAGATTTTGTTAGTTTGCCGTAGAGTAGATAATCTTTTCAGTTGTTTCACTCCTTGAAAAAATACAAATTGCTATTTGATAATCAAATGGCAGAATGTGCAAGTTAAGCTTGTGTTTTTTTGATTTATTGTCCTGAGCCAAAATGGAACAGAAACAAACTACATTTCAAGCTTTTGTCTGGGCACCAATCATTGTTGCTCCCTTTTCTGAAAATTTACCAAATGCGTTCACTATTGAATCAACAACTAACCCCACAATTTTCTGCTTGTTCTTCTGCCAGCTGGCACAGATTCTTTCATGAAGAGATCTTGAGTAATAACCAAGGGCTTTGTTTCAGGCTTCCTAATCTTTTCTTCTCTGACTATTGTGTACATCTTATTTTACTGGTATAGTAATCAAAATGTACAAAATACAGTTATGAAACTGGACAAGGCAATTATTATAAAAACCAGTAGGATACTGCCTATTTTTTTCTGAATTGTTCCTCTATGTTGGTTTTATTTATTATATCTTGTTATTTCCCAACTGGGTTTCTAAAGGAAACACTTTCAGGAAAATTCTATTAACGGACACTGTCTTGTGTACTCTACTGAAACAGTCTCCTGTACAGGTTGTGTTGTTCTACAATAATTTATTTCAGTGTGACCTATCAAAAAAAAAAAAAAACCTTCCTGGTATATTGTATTCCACAGGTTAGAATACCCTTTTCCTAATGTGCTGCTGTTAATGACTTTTGAATTCTTTTGAAACAGATGCCTTGTTTTATTTCATGGTAGGGCTACTATTACTTTGTCTAATTGTGTACTGTATGAATATTTATTTATAACTATATTTTATGTATGTGAGAAGTACATATGTAACTATTTCCAAAAAGTGATGGTCATATTACACCAGGGGTCCCCAATCCCTGAGCAGCCGACTGGTATAGTGGGTGAGCAAGCAAAGTTTTTCTTTCAAAACCAATCCCTGGTGCCAGAAAGGTTGGGGAGTGCTGTATTATACCATCAGACTGGAATAACTACTCATCAGTACAATGGGCTTTTTTTTTTTACATTTTCAATATTTGACAGGCAAAGACAATGTACTCTCAAATCATAATGCATATTTATCTGTTCTGGAAGGGCCATATGTATGCGCATACATATCTCCCACTCCCATGCAGGATTAAATACAGTTTTAAAAACCAAATGTATGAGAATTTTTCAGAAGGAATTAGTAAAAGCCATCAACTTAGGAAATAAGGGTAAATCATATTAACAAAGATTCATCTTCCAAAAAATTCATATTAACAAAGATTCATATTCCAAAAGATTGAGAGCACTGCATTTATTTGGATCCTTTTCAATCAGATCTGATTTAAGAAATAATACCTGGCATTTAAATAATACCTGGCATCAATACCTGGAAGGGAGTTATTGATTCAGGACAGACTGAAATGTTTTGTTTTAATATATGTACATACATGTGTGTGTGATAGCTAAAACTATTTCTACTATATTGGCTGCTTAGGCCTTGTATTTGTAACCTTGGGAATTTTCCATAATTCTGTACAACTGTAGAAGAGAAATCTCCAATGTAATTTTGTTAACAACTATGTCCCTTCTCTTCTAGGGCATTAAACCTGCTAGTTTTAATAAGGTGACAGACCCAGAAGTAAAAGAGATCATTGAATGTTGCATTCAGCAGAACAAGTCTGAAAGGTGGGCAGATCCATTTTGTGTCTCTCCTTACTTTGAATTGTGCAAATTAAGAGCTAGTATTTGAGTGTTAATAGCTATTTGTTGTTACAGGGAAAAAATATCTGATTAAGCAAAACATTCGTGCTTTAAACACCTGCCTAAGTCCCTTTGAAGTCAAAAGGAATGAAGCTCATGAAGCCATATAGCAAATGAGATTTGCCTGGCTCATTTCCCAAAAGACTGTTAAGACATATATAAGGAAAGTATTGCAGAAACATAGAATCAGTCAAAATGAAAATTCTTGATTTTCTCTAGTTTTTATACAGTGAAAAAATGATGGGATTCTACATTCCTCAAATTAATGCAAAAAGGAGTAAGGCTAGAAGATTAGATATTATGTTGGAATTTAAAATCTTATCCAGTTATCTTTTCCCTGTAACACACACAATGCCTACTTTAATCACTCCAAGGACTGTTACATTGGAGACCTGTTGCTTTAATTTATAAAGCCTTAGTAATAGAGAAGGAGATGCATGAAACATTAATCTACCTCTCCTCCCCCACACTCAGTAACTTGATCTCACTTCTCATGCCTCTCCCTAGCCTCACTCATGGTCAATAGCTCTCTTTCAACGTGGTCAGATGGTGGCACATTAATAGTTCAAAAGTAGTCCACAATCCACTATCTTTGAAAACTGTCCATGTACTTCTGGCTCAACTTCATTATATCTGAAGCTTCAGTAAAATCTAAAAGAAGAAAAAGAAATTCTGTGGAATTATGTGTTTCCCCCCTTTACAGGAATTTTTGCTTCACCATCCATCCTAGGCTTCAAAGTTTTTAAAGGGGATGATATCTTGAATGCTTTTCAGGTCTTTCTCAAAAAAAAAAAAAGAGAGCTGATATTTGATCAGAAATTCACACATCATAGAATAAGAGATGAGTGAAGGAGGACAATGGACAGACAGCTATTTCACGACTATTATCTGTCCACAGAGTGCCACCTGGAAGTCCTGATTAAGGTCACCTGGTCCTGCCTAAGGAAGAAGGGCTTGGATGAACATTTACTGGGCAGTGTGGCAGAATTTGTTGAGCACCTGATGCATAAAATCAATTCATTCTCAGTTGCAGCAAGTCCATTAGAGATGCTCAGGGAACAGACCTATCCAGTTATCTGGGAGAAGTTTGACCTTGTTGGATATGAGGAAGTGGACAAAGTCCTTGAGGCTGTTAGCGCCATTACTTGTTTATTAGATCCTTACCTAACCTGATTGGTAAAAGCCTTCAGAAGCGTGATCGCAGGTGGATCCAAGCAATCATTAATACATTGCTGCTGCAGGGTGTGTTCCTGGTACTATTTAAGGAAACCCTGATCTATCCCCACCTTAAGAAACCTTCACTGGATCCCACTTGTTTGAACAATTTCCATCCACTTTCCCTTGTTCCCCTTTTTAGGGAAGCTGGTGGACAAAGTGATTGCCCTACAGCTTCAAAGGGTCCTGGATGAAACATTATCTGAACCCCTTTCAGTCAGGTTTCAGGTTTGATTATAGGACAGAGATGGCATGGGTTGCAGTTGGGGAGCAGAATGGGGTTACTGCATCCATCCTTGCTTTTCTCAATCATTCAGCAGCTTTCAGTAACAACTGTGGTATCTTTTTGGGCCAGCTGCAGGAGCTCAGGCTGAGCAGCACAGTATTACGCTGGTTCAACCCCTTTCTTCAAGCTGGTTCCAAACGGTGTTGAGTGAAAGGTCCAGTCCATGACTGTTCCTTTGCAGTGTACTAAAGGGCTTGGTGCTCTCTCTGCATCTTTTTAACATCTACATGAAACCTCTGGGTGAGATCATCCAGTACCATAGGGAAGAGGTATCATCAGCATGCAGATGATATCCAACTTTATATTCCTCATCTCTGGTGACCCAAGTTATGTATTGTGGCTACCCCCTTGTAATACCTGGAGGCTGTGGGGGTTTGGATGGGGGAAAACAGGCTTCAACTGAACCTGTTAAGACAGAGTGGTTGTGGGTTCAAGGGTGCTTGGGATCTGGGGGATTATCATGTTTAGTTCTTGATGAGTTTGCACTACCCCAGGCAGACTGGCATGCAATCGTGACTCTTTCTCTATGAGTAGGTGACAGTTGAGCATAAGAGAGCCTTTTGCAACTTTGTGTTGTGTGCCAGTTGCACCCTTTCCTGGATTATGAGGCCCCATGTGCAGTCATTCATATCCTGATCATCTCTCGGTTGGATTACTGAAACACACTCTACATAAGCTATCCTTGAAGAGCATTCAGAAACTACAAGTGGTACAGAATGCAAGCAGCACAGACACTTCTGGAAGCCCGCTGAGTGGCACATACGACAGCACTGTTGCACAAATTGCACTGGCTGCCCTTTGCTTCTGGGTTCAGTCCAAAGTCTCAGTCTTTAAAGCGTTGTATAGCAGGGGTCCCGGGTATCTGAGGAGCCATTTTACCATCATGGGATTCGCTTACCCTACTCATTCCAGGAGAAAAGGCCTACTTTGCATTCTGTCTTCCAAAGAATTTTGGCTGATGGGGTTCGGGAGAAGAGCCTTTTTTGCTGTGGTACCTGCCCTCTGGAATATTTTCTTGCTGGAGGTGAAATCTGCCCCCACACTCCTAGCATTGTGAAAAAGGCAAAAAACTTGGCTCTGCTGTTTCACTTGGGACTGGCCTTGACAGGGGATGGCTAACAGAGGTTGAGATTTTCTCTACCCCTAGGCTGCTCATCGCCTTGGTATTTAGCTTTTCTATTTATCTCTCCTAATTTTAATTACGTTGTATTCCTTCTTTACTTTTTTAATATTGTAAACAGCCCAGAATCGCTGTATTTGTGAGAGGGTTTTCATAAAAAATTAATAAATAATCAATGGTGCGGTCTTTTTATCTTATTTTTGTTTGGCATAGAGTGGGATAATTTATGTGTTCCTTTTTTATGATGAACTGCTTTGAAGACATGGATCTTCTTCAGCTTGCTTTTGAGGTATTGGGGAGTAGAAGTGGCAATAGTATGGTGGAAGTGCCTTCTGACTCCAGGAGCTGTGGGACAAAGGGAAAATCCCTAAGAATTAGATGACCTTACCCTTTTGTAAATGTGAGAGGCTCCTGAAAAGCCTGTCAAGGTTAGGAGAAAGCAGGAAAATATGTGGCATTTGTGTCCTTCCACCCATGCTTTTCTGGATCCAATTTTACTGCGATAAGCAAGTGGTGAATAGAGCAAAGATTGTCTAAGGTTCATTTGACTTCATCTGACTCTTCTTTTGAGTAAATGGTGTTCTCATCTGGGTTTGTTTTATTTGTATTTAAATTATTGCTTTAATTTCTCTTAAATCCTATTGGGGGAAGGATATTTGGTCCGAACGATAAAGTATAAATACTGTATATAAAATGATATTGGTACAGGTAGTCCTTGGCTTACAGCCACAATTGAGCCCCAAATTTCTGTTGCTAAGTGAGATGTTTGTTAAGTGAGTTTTGCCCCATTTTATGACCTTTCTTGCGATAGTTGTTAAGTGACAACCACTGTAGTTGTTAATTTAAGTAATGTGGTTGTCAAGTGAATATGGTTTTCCCATTGAAGGTTCCGAAGACGAATACCTGACCCTGGGACCCTGCAACTGTCATAAATACGAGTCAGTTGGCAAGCGTCTGAATTTTGGTCACGTGACCATGGGGATGCTGCCATGGTCGTAAGTGTGAAAAAAATGATCAAAAGCCATTTTTTTCAATGCCCTTGTAACTGTTGTAAGTCATACTCTACCCGTATTATGTCAGTTTTGGAATATCTCTAAGGAAAGAATAATAATTTTGAAAAGAAACCCTCAGCAATTGCAGTAATACACATTTGGTATACCGAAGGGACATTCAGTCATCTCTCATAACTGTCTAACGTTAAATATATTCTATTTCAGGCTATCCATCAAAGACCTCTTGAACCATGCTTTCTTTGCGGAAGACACGGGACTCAGAGTGGAGCTGGCAGAGGAAGAAGAGGATGGGATGCATTCCTCTTTGGCTTTGAGACTTTGGGTGGAAGATCCCAAGAAGCTGAAAGGGAAGCACAAAGACAACGAAGCAATAGAGTTCAGTTTCAACGTGGAAACAGATATCCCGGAGGAAGTGGCTTGCGAAATGGTGAGTATTATGGGTCACTGCTTTGCTTCTTTCTGCAGCAATTTCTCTTGCCTTATGGGATATACTGTACGTCATGGGGGTGGGGGGAGGGGGAGTATTTAAAGTGTTACTGTCAAAATTGAAAAATCTCCATTTTATAAAAGAGCTATAGTTAGAAAACTGCTCCTAAAAACTGATGTAAAAGAGAGAAATGAAATTTGGGTAAAAGTCATGGTGCAGGAGAAGGAAACTTACTCATCCTTGCTTCTTCCCTAACTTAATAGTTTTCTTCTCCTCCTTGTCAAGGCTACTATTCTAGTTTAACTGTAATTTTCTGTTTGCACATGAAAGAAGCAGGAAATATCCCCATTGCAGTTTTATTATCTTTTAGCTTAGGGTTATAAGCAATCTAATTAATTATTATGGAAGGTAGTTTATAAATTATGGATAAATGAATAAATTAATTTAGATTCACGAAGATTTATCATGCTGAGGCTGCTAATTGTATTTTAATATCTAGAATACAAGTGCTCCACTCTATCTCCTATTTACTGATGCGTTGAGCTTTATTTACAAGGCGTAATTCTTTTAGGATACCTCTTAAGAAGGGCTGTAGGGGCAGGTGGAAACTTTATTTTCTTGTGTTCATGTATGTAACTTCTATTACAACTTTTAAACAGGAAGATAAAACCTAACACAAACTTAGAAAGTATAAAAGAAAAAAGGGAAAGAAATAAAAGAAAATATAAAATGCAAGAAAATAAAAAAGATGAAGAAAAATAGAAAAGAAAGAAAGTAAAAATATAAGTGGCTTCCGATATTTGTCATAGCAGTTATAAGTAAAATATTTTGACCTCCCTTCTAAGGTTATGTCATATTGCTCTTCTCTCTATAATCTATCCTGTTTAATCAACAAAACCATTATCATATTCATTTTGGTCATTTTTATACAAAAAGTCCATAAGTGGCTTCCAGTGAACAATAAATGTAATATTTTTTTTTCTAATCAAAGAAATTAATTAATCCATCTGTCAATTTTACTAACCATTTCTCCATAATAGGTCTTTTAACCACTGCACATATTGTAAGTTTGGTACTATGATCATGTATTGTAATAATTTGCCATGTCTTTTTTTGTAACTGTTTATCCACTAACCCTAAAAAAAAAAAAGTTTGAGCATTTCCAGCATATGTTTGATGTCCCTTTATACTTCCTCAGGGAATTTCTCTGGCATCATGTATCAACAATACATCACTTTATAAGCATTTTTTTTGAGATCAAAACACACAATATAAATTTCAATCCTTTTCACTATATATTTTCCCATTGTTCCATCTGTATATTATAATCAAATTTCTTAAATCCTGGAACATCAGCCTTTTATCTTTATCTGCCATTTCTGTTCTTAACTTATACCTTATAAGTTTCTTTTACAATCTTAACTCTCATAATTCACTGATCTTATCTCTGTTCAATACCTGAAGAGCTGAAATGAACAAAGTTGGAGACATTGGACATCCTTATCTTGCCTTTTTTGAATCTCATAAAGTTTTGTTAATTCCCATTAACAATTATTTGTGCTTTCTAAGAAGAATAAATCAACCTTACTCATTTAGTAAAAGTATATCTAAGGTTCATGTGTTCCAGAACACTAAACCAAAAATCCACTTCAAGGCCTTCTCTGCATCTAAGAATATCAGTGCAGCTTGTTTTTCATTATGTTACTCCAAATGTTTCCAAATGTTCGAAGTGTTTCTAGTATTATCTCTCAATTCTTTTTTTTTAGGTTAAAAAAAAAATCTATAGAATTATTCTCAACCTTTCAGCCAAAATCATAATAAACAGTTTATAATAATTATTCAATAAACATATTGGTTGATTGTTTCTTGTTAAAGTCAAGTCTTATCCCTTTTTAGATATTCTTATATTAGCCTCCTTTCAGCTATCAGGAATCTTTCCATATTGCAAAATAGTATTCATCATCTGTTGTAAAGTTTGTAAAAACTCATCTTCAAAACATTTGTAATAAGAGGCAGCAGCCCATCTATTTCAGATATATTTCCTGTTTTAATCTTTGTGACAACTTTGCATAGTTCCCTTATTGGTCCATGCAAAATTTGTCTCTGATTGTTAATCTGTTAGTACAATATTCCTTTCTTGAAAGTTTAATATCAGTTCCTTTTTCTTTTCGCAGCTTGTATGCCAACCATCTCCTTGATTTATGTGGAAATTTAAATTTTATTTGTTTTGCATAGTTCATCTTTATTTCCATCTCTCTCACTGTTAACATAGATAATTGCCTCTGCAAAAGCTTAATTTAATTAGTGATCATCCCTGGAGATTTTTTTTAAAAAAAAATCACCCATTTTTGTCTTATCCAGAATCATTTGCATTTTCTCTTGCCTTTTCTTTAAGTTTCATTATTAGGTTGTAAAAAAATTACTTGCATCCCAGTCATCCTTCCTTCTCTACTTTTATTAAGATTATTCTCAAAACTTTCTACAGTCTTCCTCCATCATTTCTTTTAGCAATAACATTTCATTCAATCTGCACCTAAGAGACTGTTCCGATTCTCCTCAGTGAATAAATATTTTCCTCACCATGGCATTGAAGCCAAGCTAAGCTTTAGTCAAATATTGGTTACAATGTTTTGAGGTTAAAATAAGTAAGAATACTGTATTGCTATGAACAGTCTCTACTTTCCTCTTTTTATGTTGTTTCTTTTTATCATCCTGTTCTTAAGAAAAGAAAAATGTGTTCAGACTGTAGATTCTTCATTTTGCCTCACTGTTGCCTTGGTTTTGTTTTTATAAAACATTTGGCCACAGAGGAATCTTGACAAATGACAGCTGATGTTACTGAAAGGAAACATGGCAATGCATTTGTTCATTTCATATAAAATATATGCAGGCAGAAGGCTACTGCTTAAGCATCACCCACTCACCACCCAACTGTGAAGTTTTGTAAGTGGTACTGTGATCCCTTGTCTTATGGAATGGATGTTAAATGCAGTTGTGGGATCCCTTTTCTGTTTCTCTTTTTCTTTGGGGGTAGATTGGGTTTACAGACCTTGCTCAGCAGATGACAGTTAAGACTGTCCTTCAGTAGTTCCATTTAACACAAGAGCAGTGCTTGAATGCTTTCTTTGATCTGTGTTTTCATGTTTAAGCCAATGTGCCCTAGTTTGCATGTAAAACCTCTAAATAATGGATTTGCAATAAGCTAAGAATAAACAAATGAATAACATAAGAAATTGCAAATGGATCATACCATTATGTAGGATCCTGGTGAGTGTCTCAGAATTGCCTTATGAATATTTCAAATATGTGGCAATAATATTTGGCATGTTGCAGATGTTTTTGTGATATGCTAGGGTGGTGTATTCATTATACTTCTGTGGTGGTTGTAGAATGTATTATGTTCTGTTTAATAAGATCTAAGCAGTTAGAAATGAATGACTTATCTACTACAGGTAGTCCTCAACTTAATGACCACAATTGAGCCCAACATTTCTGTTGCTAGGTGAGATGGTTGTTAAGTGAACTTTGCCCCATTTTATGACCTTTCTTGCCACAGTTGTTAAGTGAATCACTGCAGTTATTAAGTTAGTAACACAGTTGTTTAAGTTAAGTGAATCTGGCCTCCCCATTGACTTTGCTTGTCAGAAGGTTGCAAAAATGATCATATGATCTCAGAAAACTGCAACCATTATAAATATGAAACAGTTGCCAAGCTTCTGAATTTTGATCACTTGATCATGGAGATTCTACAATGGTTGTAAGTGTGAAAAATGGTCATACGTTACTTTTTTCAGTGTCGTTATAACTTCGAATACCCACTAAATAAACTATTGTAAGTCAAGGACTACCTGTAATTGTTCTAAGAAAATTGAACTAAAAAAAAAACGTTTGTGAAATAAATATTTAGTGATGATGAAAAAAGAAGAAATTATCATAATATAATAAATAGTAACACATTTCCAGCAGTGAAAACCAGAAAACAGTTTTTGCTACTAGATCAGCTCTTAACTGAATCAGCAAAAGCCGGATCTTGCTAGGCAAACAGGACAAAGAAACTGCAAAGTAACTGAGAGGTGAACAAAACTGGAAAATAAATCGTTACTACAAATCTAGACCATCAGAAAGGGGATTTCAAATGAATATGTTCCAAATTTTTAAACAGAAATTCCCAGAATGAATGATTTCATAAGAAGTGCTAATGGACCTGCACCGTGTGACTATGAAAAGCAAGATTTTCTCTGATACTGAGGTGAATAGATCACAAACAATAACTGGGTGTTAACTGAACAAGCTGAAATTACAGATGCTGTGAACTTTGGACAACTAATAGTGAATGAAGTTATGAAAACCACAAGAATATAATATAGTTCTGATCTTGTGAAGTAAAAGTGTTGCAGCTCACCAATCAGCATATCAATTGGCTAAGAAAATAAAAAGTCAAATGACTGAGTCATAAAGAATATTCCTAACATTAAAGCAAATAACTTTTTGCTTTCTTTGTAATCTTTGTTTCTCCTGCTTGTTTGCCTAAAATTAACCAATATTTGTTTTACAATAGTCTAGGAGCTGGCCAAGAAAAAATAAGTACCTACAAATCCATATAAAGGAAAAAAAATATGTATTAGAAAATTTATAGAAAACAATATAGTAAAATAATGTTTTAAAAAAGCACAATAGATTAACAACTGGAAAACCATTTGTTAGGTAAGCAGTGGAAAATGTACTGAGAGCAAAATAAATGGTTCAGATACAAATTAGAAAGATTGAAAATTAGAGTGCTCCTCTGAAAAGATGAACTACATTATTTTGGGGTCAAAAGTCAAGTCTGACAAGTCTTTACTCCAGGCTAGCGCATAGCTGAATGATCTGCAAATAATAAAGAATGGGTGACATCTGGAAGAAATTTCTTGTATAGAAAAGTAAGGAGAGAAAAAAACCTTTTCCTGACATCTTCAAGCCTATTGCTTGCCTCTTATGACACTCAAATTGTTTACTGAAATTATTCCAAATCTAATATATAATAATTTGAAATAAATTGTAATATCTCAGTGGAACATGGGGGACTTTTTATCATTCATGAGGCCCCAAAATCAGCTATTGATTGACCCCCCCCCCCAAAAAAAACACCCTTTGTATGGCCTAGCATAGAAAGGCGTTTGACACATTCTTTCATAGCTGGGTAAAAAAAAAATGCTTGAAAGTTTTTGGAACAAGCAGGAACATCTAATTAGATGATTGCCAAAAAATATCAGTAGGTTCTTGAATGTCCTGGGGATAAGAAGACCAATTATCACCATTATTTTTTGTACTGGCAATGTTCCTCTCACAAATAACTGGAACAAAATCAATTCTGGATTCCAAGTTAAAGAACAAAGACCAAAAATAATTTATATAGATGATCCAAAAGCATAAGGTAAATCAAAAGTTGAAATCAAGTTAACTTTGTCCATATATTTAGTGAAAACAAATAAATGAAATTTGACATGGACCTGGCAATTAAAGAAGGCAAAATTATAGAAGAAAAAAGGCTACCACAATGAGTGGAACTATCATTAGACTCCTGGCACCTAAAGAAAAATACGTAGGATTAATAGAACTTTCTGATTAATGGCATGACCAAGTTAAAAAAAAAAAGGCCTTTAAGCTGACATTGTATCACTGAGCAGTGCAAGAGGCTCAGAATAGACCCTGTCTACTTTTCGGGCTGTATAGGATAAGTTGTGGTAGAGAATAGTATTTTCATATTTTAAGATTGATGTCAGCCTGGCAGAGTAAACCAAATAGAAATCACAACCAGATGAGCTCATTTCTACTTTATCATAAAGCTATACTGACATAATCTTGCAAGTCTGAAACTATACTTCTTTTCCCCGATCTATACAGATTGAGATACTGGAGAGAGTACCTTCTGAGCCTCTTGCCCCATCCACTATCCAGCTGTGGGCTATGCTATCTCTTATCTAGTAGTTCCCTTGACAGTGTCTCTTTGCCTCATACCTTTACAATAAAACAACTTTGGAAGAAAAAAAACACAGTCTGAATGATTATATCAGGAAATAATGTAAAGGGTTCTCACAAATGAAGGCAAAAAGTTTTCTTTACAGAAGTTGTAAGTATAGGCTCCTGAAACATAAAAAAAAAAAAATAGAATACAGGAGTAAAAGTAATTCAGTTGGATTGATAACTGGAAAAGCAAACCACTCCATGGCTAGTATATGCATGATACTGAAGGAAAAATTGTCTGGACAAGCCCATAATTTTTTTCTTGCCAATATTTTTGGAAGTGATTTGCCATTGCTTTCTTCCTTGGGCTGAGAAAGGGTGACTAACCCAAAGTCATCAAGTTGATTTGGATCCAAGGAGGATTAGAATTCATAGTTCTAGTTTCCAACCTGGTGCCTTAAACCACTGCACCAAAGTGACTCTCACACAAGATATTACTTTTATAGAAAGCAAGTGCGATTCATTGATGTGTCAATACTTGCAGGCAGTCAAACTGATGAAAAACAACTGGAGGAAATAACAAAATATCGTTTATTGACATTTTGAGATTGAAAGTTTGTGGAAGGAAAAAAATGTAATAACATTGTACTTGGAATATTTAATGCAACATTAAATGGGTCCACCAAATATTAGTAATGTTAAACTTACCATTAATTTTTGTAGAGTATTTGCAACAGCATATATTTTATGTTGATACCTCTATGATTCTTAGCTCCTTGGCTGAAACATGAATCATTGCAATCACTACATAATCAATTAGAACAATAGTTATAAATAATATTGGAATAGCCTCCTGGCTGCTAGCTAGCTAGATAATCCCAAACCAAAAGGAATTTTATATTTACTTGTCTGTTCATTGCAGTACTTTTTGTTCATCTGGAGCTCTGGGCAACAAGTCCAGGTCCAATTTGGCATGCATTCAGGGTAAGGTCTGTTGTTATGGGATTCTGATATCTAATGTGCAAATACAGATTAATTTTAATTGCTAAACATTGGTGGATAAACCTTGAAAGACTAAACTGATAGTGAATAGAACTGACTTTACCTAAATTTTTTGTTTTTGTTGATTTCTAGGTGAAGTCGGGATTCTTCCATGAAAGCGATTCCAAAGCTGTGGCTAAATCCATTCGTGATCGTGTCACCCTAATCAAGAAGACTCGGGAGCAAAAGCAGGTTGGCAACCTGGAAGAAAGAAGGGACTCTCAGAGTCAGCTCCCAAGTGGACTGCCATTACTTCAGCCACAAGGCTCATCATTCACCCCACCTTCTCAGCAAAGCAAGGCCGAGTGTGAGGAAACGGAGGTTGATCAACATGCCAGGCAACACATCCTCCAACAAATGCAGCACAGCTTTTCCCTCACTGGTAATGAGCAATCATAAGCATTTAATACATAATGTTATTTATTATTAAATAAATAATAAGGGTATCATTTTGTTCAGGAAATGTCTTGCCTGAGGTGTTTGAGCTTTTGGCTCCTTTTTGTTGGTTTATTGAAAGCCGAAAGCCCTTTAGCATATGAACTGTGGTTGCTTTCTGTAGAATTTAATCTTGGCTGAATTGTTAGCTAATATATTAAGGGGAGCTGAAGCTACATTAATAAAGTCATAATAATAATGAATGAATATGTTCATATGTGAGTTTAATGAATTTACATTTTTGAACAGCAATAATAGCTATCCAGAGTAGCTTTTCAGTTACTCATTTAGAAACTTCCCATTACTTTCACAAATTACTTGAAATTTTGCTGGGAAGGAATTTATTTTCAGAACTTTTAAAATGCAACTGTACCTTTCTTTCACCTAAGACAGGGGTGTCAAACTCGATTTCATTGAGGGCCACATCAAGGTTGTGTTTGACCTCGGGGAGTGGGTAGGCATGGCCAGGATAGGCATGGTCAGCTTGATATCACTCATGTTTGGGGCACCTGTGGTGGCCAAGTGCTATGGCAGGACTTCCCTCAGACCCTCCCCCACTCTCATAATTTTCCTTCCTTCCTTTCTTCCTTCCTTCCTTCCTCCCTCCCTTCCCTTTCCTTCTCTTCTTCCTTCCCTCTTCGTTCTCCTTCTCTTCTTCCTTCCCCTCTTTCCTTATTTTACCTTCCTTGTTCTCTTCCCATCTTCCTTTCTTCTTTTGTCTTTCCTTTTTCCCTTTCTCCTTTCCTGTTCCTTCTTGCATGCTTTTGCTTTCTCCTTTTGTTTTATTTTTCGTTTGTTTTGCTAGCCATCTGCCAGTTCCGTTTTTGCTGGCAGAGGGCTGCAGGAGTCTGTTGTGGCTGAAAATGGGGCCCAAGTTCCATTTTTTCTGGCAGAGAGACACTGTGGAGCAGTCCTTTGCTTCCAGGGCAGCCCTGTGGGCCAGATCTAAGCATCCTGCAGGCAGGATCCACAGGCTTGAGTTTGACACCCCTGACCTAAGATATAGCCAATTGGGATTGCTGAAAATTGCTGCTTCCTTCAGTTGGTTTGTATCTTTTGTCAGATGGCCAAACTTGAATGAGCCATCTTTTCAAACTTGCTAGTCTGTCATTCAGTTCAATACCAGCAATGTAGAGTCATTTTAAATGCTAAGAGTCAATTGGCCTAGTGTTGAAGGCATTAGGCTAGAAACCGGTAGACTCTGAGTTTTAGTTGTGCCTTAGGCATGAAAGCCAGCTGGGTGACCTTGGGCCAGTCACTATCTCTCAGTCCAACCCATCTCACAGGGTTGTTGTGGGAAAAATAAGAGAAAGAAGAGATATTAGGTAGATTTGCTGATGAGTTATTTATAAAAATAATAAATATTGATAAAAATGTATTTAAATAAAACAAAAATAAATGAGAGTTTAGCAGAGAGAACTGCCTCCCAATAGAAGCTTTAGAAGAAAATTCTATGACAATAAATTGGAGCAGTGAACTAGTGTCATTGTCAAAGCTGAACTCACTGAAAAAACATTTGCAACTTCATAATTTTCCCATTACAAGGGTAAGGACCAGAACACGTTGCTCCCTGGAAGCTGTTGGATCCTGTGGATTTCATGCTGCTCTGAGGAATGTTTTTCTCAAAACTGAAACCACATCAGTGCTTTAGTTAAGATGTGGAATAATGAAGTTTCAGCACTTAATATGAAGGCTCCTAAATTCCTGCTGTCCTGTATTAGTGCCTTGAATGTTCCATGCTTCATACAGGAATTGCATGTTATGAAATGTGAGGACAGAAATGTGCAGGTCCCAAATGAATCCAGCTAGAAAAAATGCATGCTTATTTATACAGCCTATGTCACAGCAATTAGGCAGATAAAAGTAATAATTTATTTTCCAATTGATTACATCCATAGAATCAATAATCCAAGAGAACTCTGATGGTCCAACTACAATAACTGTAGCCAGGGTTCTCATACAAACTGATAGCCACTGTGACACAACACACAACACAAATCTGAAACATGTCATGCACTTTGCACAATACTTTGTGAATAACACGTTTCAGATTTGTGTTGGATTTTTCTTCATTTTAGGCAGTATCATACTTAGAATTCTTCTATAACATTATCAGTTTTGTTGCTTGATCCCTTATAAACAGGGATGGGATCCGACCGGTATAACTACCGGTTCTGTTGCTTTGCGTCGCGCGCGCATGCGCGTGTCGCGTGAGTGCAATTTACAACTTGCTGAGCTGCCCGGACAACTGAGCAGTGCTGCACGTGGGTCCACCGCGGTTGGAAAAGCCCTTTTTTCCTTCTTTTTCAACTGCAGCTGTGCCACACAAAGCAGCTGAGGTTGAAAAAGCAGGAAATAAAGGACAGGTAAGAGCCCAGGCGGATGAGTGGGGCAAAACAGCAGCAGACATAGAACCAGTTCTGTGTCTGCTGCTCTTCAGAGCAACTGGTTCTATAGAGGTGGACAGAACCGGTAGAATCCCGCCCCTGCTTATAAATAAATGAATCCTCAGTTCAATTTATACCGTTACTTGTTTGGTCCCTTCCTAGCTTTGCTTCTAAGGGCTTTTAAGGATTGTTTTAGATTGTTTAAAAAAGGATGATGAAGCAACTTCTTAAGAAGCTTTTATTAGACACTGCTGATTTTAACAACTATGAGCCAGTATCCAGTGTTCCATATCTAACCAGCCCAGCAGAGAAGGCATTAAAGCTTCTGAAGATTTAGATATAATGGGTCATCTTGAGCCTGAATTTAGACTTACATGTGTCATAGAGATGGCTTTGGTCATTCTCAAATAAATATAACAGTTTTTGATAACTGTACTTATTTAAACAGATTAATTGTGTTAGCTAGAATCACTGTTGTGGCAATTTTTAAAAGAAAGATTGGGCTATTGTTTTCTTTTCCTAAGGAAAAGCTTTCATTTTGTTGTATTCTTTTTGAAGTAAATATTCCATCCATATGTAAAACTGCATTTCCTGACAACCCAAGTGTTTGCCTAAATGAGGCAGAAGGAAGGGAAGTGGTTTGATTTATTCTGAAACAATGAACATTCTGCCATTTTTTTTCTTTTCACACTGACACAGCTGACAACTTGTCTGAGACAGGATCAGGATCAGTTATACTGTCAGATGCCTCTAGCCAACATAATCTGGCATTTTCCTCGGAACACATGATGGGTACTCAACAAGTTCCCAATCTCTCACAAACTGAAAATAGCACTGTTCAAGGGCACATTTATACTTCTCAACAACTGATGGGGCATTATCAGTCCAATGCAGGGGTAAGAGGCTTATTATATTCTTACTAACATAGTGATTAAGATTATTGTATTAACAAAGTGTCTTTACCTATAGGAGAAAGTGGCAGAACGTGGGGATGGAGTCAAAAGAGGAATCAGCCTAGAATCTCTAGGTAGCCACATACAGACTAAGTCCACCCCCACCCCTTGAATTCTGCCAACTCTTATCTAGCGCAAAATAGTACTAACCTTTAATCACAATCAGTTTAATTGGAACTTCGTATGTTGTCCTCATCTTTCATGCCTGACACTATCTCATAGAGACATGTATGGTGTTTCAGTATGACATTTTTTGGCTCCAGGAAAGGAATAAAGGTGGTAGCTTTGACTAGAGGGGAGCTTTTGCACAGATTCATCATGTGAACCAATCACACCCTTTCCTAGACTGGAGGTTCATGGTCTCTCATGCCTCAATCACTTCCCATTTGGATTACTGCAATGCATTTTACATGGGGTTGCCCTTGGAATCTAATGGGATGTGCAGTGATGGGCCCCCCTAGTTGTACCCAAATCATACCCTATTGTGCAAGTGTCTCCCAGTTTCCTTCCAGGTGCAATTCAAGGAACTGGTTATTATCTTTAAAACCCTATTATGGCACAGGACCTTTGCCAGATTGCTCTCACTAAGGACATCCTACTACCAGAACAGGGTGGATATACTCCTAGTCCCCTCCCTTAAATGTTGCCATCTTATGGTACTTAGGAAATGTGCCTTTTCCTGACAGTCCCTGCCCTTCCCCCTGAAATTTGTTAGACACCCCACCCCATTCTTTTAACTTTCCAAACAGCATTTAAGACCTGGATTTCCCTCTCAAGTGCTGGCATTAGGGTAAGACCGATCAGATAAACTTCTTGTGGGCTTCATGTCAAATGTAATTATGGTGTCAAATGGTTTTTTAAAAAAAATATTTATGGTTTTAATTTTTTATTGTAAACAGATGTTTTTTTTCCTATTGGCTGCCTGGACTTTAGTACAAATGGGTGGTATTATAAATGTTCTAAAAACAGAAAGGCCCAAGAACATATTTTGGTTATTAATTCTGCATCCTAGGAAGATATCTTGTGTTCCCTAGGGAATGTGAGAAAAGGCTACAAATAGGGCAGATGAGACCAGGGGAACTGAAGCACAGACAATTGTTTTGTTTTTCTAAGTGAAGCCTGTTAATTATTCTTTATACAGGTGCAGCCGGCCTTGCCAACAAATATGGCTCATCCCGGTGTTTTACCATTAATCCAGAGTCAGCCTTCTGGTCTACCTACTCACAATTTGGCACTTCCTGCAACTCTCCAAGCCCAAACCTCTCCTCTTGCAGCTCAACAATTCCCATCAAGGATGGTAAGGTTTTTCACTAATAAATTACATTACTGAGCAGATTTTTCAAAGCATCACCAAAAGTGTCCCGTAAGTTCATTTTAACCATCTAAATTTAAAAGGGGAAAGCATTCATAAAATGGAAGCAATCATTGAAGGAAATTATTCAATGGAAGGAAATGATACAACCACAATTGAGTCCAAAATTTCTGTGGCTAAGTGAGACATTTTTTAAGTGAGTTTTGACCAATTTTATGACTTTTCTTGTCACGGTTGTTAAGTGAATCACTGTGGTTGTTAAGTTAGTAACTGGTTGTTGAGTGAATCTGGCTCCCCCCTTGACTATGCTCGTCAGAAGATCGCAAAAAAAAGACCATGTGACCCCAGGACACTGAACTATCATAAGTATGAGTCAGTTGCCAAGTGTCTGAATTTTGATCATGTGACTATGGGAATGCTGCAATGGTCATAAGTGTGAAAAATGGTCAAAAGTCACTTTTTTCAGTGCTGTTGTAACTTTGAATAGTCACTAAATGAACTGTAATAAGTTGAGGACTACCTATAGTGAATTATTGCTTCTCATTTAAAGCCAAGCTACATAGTACAATTTAATGTGTATGTTTTGCCTGATGGCATCTCTCAATAATTGACAGTTTGTAGTAGCAGGGTGAAGGGCATATTTAATTCTCCCTTTTTATTCTCTTCTTTACATTCCAAGCCGTAGTTCCAGAATTATTCTCCTGGATGTAAATAATGTCTAAAACCCTGATGGGAAGAACAAAGAAAATGAAATTGTAAAATTAGGATTCAGGAAAATGCTTAGGTGTGAGGTAAAATGGTTAACTACAGGTAGTTTCAAGTTACAACCAACTGAAGTTCCAAGCCCCCCCCCATCACATGACCACATTTTGGGTTCTCAGAAAGAGGCCTGCATATACGATTTGAAGCATCCCATGATTACATGACCACGATTTGTGACACTTTTGCCAAAATCCAGGGTTTACTTTTGATTTTTCCGGAAAATGCCCTATGGAGAAACAATGAGTTTGCTTAATAACTGTGAACTCAGGCTCCATTACAGTCATAAGTCATGTTCACACCAATTTTTGTATATTATCTGATGATAATATATTTTTATCCAGTTAAATTATGCATCTCTGCATTGTAAAAAGAGGCTTGATCCAAATGGAGGGTCTAATTTGGTTAGCAAATACACCTGAATATCAATTTCATGGCACTAATGATTGTCTCTTTAATAATAATTAAATGATTTTAATGATAAGGACTCTTTTTCTGATACGTCATAGTCCTGTGTATCAGCAGGTGGCAATTTCTAAATGACTTTACTGGGCTCCAAAGATAAGCAGGGTGAACACTGTTTAGTACTTAGAAAGGAATACTAATAATGTAGGTTAAACTGGAAGCACCCCCCACCCACCCCCCAAAAAAAGTTCCCAGAAGAAAGCAGTAGCAAAGAACTTCTCTATTGGTTCCAAGAAAACTATATGGATATGTCTATGAGACCATTAGGAATTAAGCTTGACTTAAACAAGACTTTATCTTCATAGTATAGTTTTATTTTCTGTAGGCCATAATTTTTGCCCCAAAACTAATTTAATAATTAATCAGATAATAATGAAATATTAGTCCCAATGCAGATATTTAAGAAACCTTATACAGTTATTTGGGAAACAACCATCTGTTCAGATTGTATTTATTTAGATAATCTTGAATCTTGTGATTTGTATTTCCCTTCTAAGATTTAAAGATGGAAATGGCAAAGAATTATGAGAGTGCATTCAATTCAGACTTAGGTCTACTTTAGGGAGACTTGTTTATATTGGTCAAGTCATACTTATTTCACTTGGTGTATTCCAAGTAAAAACAATCTAGTTTTCATCCATTAAACCTTCATCAATTTATATAATCCCACATCAAGTACCAAATTATGGATTATATGTAAATAAGTATGTTTATTAAAATAAAAGTATGCTTCCAGGTAGTGCAGTTGGCAGTGAAAAAGGATCTGAAGAACTTAATTATTTCCTTGCCTTTTTCTCTGAACATTTATGTGCCTGAAAGCTTTTCCACTCTCACTTATAAATCTAAAGAGTTATGAAAAGGGTTGTACTTCTGGATGCTATACTGCTGTCTCACTACAATGATATTGCCAGATGGGACTAACATTCACAAATAGCAGTTTTTGCTCAGACATCTCAAATATAAAATGTGAAAAACTTTCAACATTTCCATTTATTCTTTTTAGAGCACAGCCAAAAGAATTACCAATTGTACAGTTCCTATAGTTAAAGTAATTCTTTTAAAACACTGAATAAGTGTTGCCAAGGTGATGGAATTTTACAGCTGACATTTTTAACTTGTACAATGCATTCTATATATTGCTGTTTTTTATATACAACTGAAATGATGTCCAAAAGATTATTTTTATGACAACATTTTATCCTATGCCTTATGTTATGTATGTTGCTACTTTGCATATACTGAGTTCTCTGTGAAATGATACTTAAAAGATTATTTTTCTGACAACATTTTATCGGATAAAATCTTGATATAAAATAATTATTTTATCAACATCTAAAATACATTTATTTTTTTTACCAGCCTCCAGATTCACAGGTATCCTACAGTACAGAAAATCAGGCTTTGGATGGATCCATCATGGGAGTTCCTCAGCAGATGTTGACAATAACTTCTCCTCAGAATATACCTGCCTCACAAGTGGGGAATCAACACATGCCAACAAGCATACAGTTAACCTCTGCTGCTAGACTTGGTAGTCAGGCTACAGCTGCTGTGGGATCAGTGGAATTAGAGACTGCTCCTGCCAATTTGGTATCTGCCAGTCAGTCCCCTGTGCTACATGGGCAGCCTTCGGTTCAGTTTGTCAACAACATGCAAGTTCTTCAGTCAGTTCCACAAGGAGTTAGACTTATTCAACAACCCAAGCAAGTTTCACAACAGGTGCCATCAACACAGCAACCACAGCAAGTTTCTGAACAGATGGCATCTATGCAGCCAAGCCAGCAAATAGTTCCACAGATGACATCTTCACAGCAGGTTCCTCAGCAAATTGCAGCTATGCAGCAGATTCCCCAGAAACTAATGGCTGTGCAGCAGTCTCAGCAGGTAGCATCTATGCAGCCACCTCAACAAGGGGTGTCCTTGCAGCAACCACAGCAAATTCACCAGCAAGGGATGCCTATGCAGCAGTCTCAGCAAGTTCCTCAACAAGCGACATCTATACAGCAAAGCCAAACTGTTCCACATGTAGCTTCTGCTCAGCAGATTCTGGAGCAGCCTCAGAAAATTTCCCAACAGGCAGCAGCCATACACCAGCCTCCACAAGTTCCTCAGCAGATTCTCCAACAAGTGGCATCAGTGCAGCAGCACCCTCAGCAGAATCCTCAACAAGTAACATCCACACCGCAGCCCCATTTTATTCCTCAGCAGGTTCCTCAACAAGTAACATCCACACCGCAGCCCCATGTTATTCCTCAGCAGGTCCCACAACAAGTGACATCCATACAGCAGCCACACCATATCCCTCAGCACGTTCAACAGCAGGTGACACCTTTACAGCAATCACAACAAAGTCCTCAACAGGCAGCAGCCATACAACAACCTCAACAGGTTCCACAGCAGGTGACACTCATTCAACAGCAGCACATTATACAGCAGGTGACACCCATACAGCAGCCACAACAAGGTCCTCCACAGGCAGCATCTATACAGCAGCCACAGCATATTCTTCAGCAAGTTCCACAGCAGATGAAACCCGTACAGCAACAGCAACAACAGCAACAACCAGGTCCTCAACAGGAGGCATCTATACAACAGCCACAGCATATTTTTCAGCACCTTTCACAACAGGTGACACCCATTCAGCAGCCACAAGGTCCTCAGCAGGCAGCATCCATACAGCAACTACAGCATATTCCTCAACAGGTGACACCCATACAGCAGCCACAACAAAGTCCTCAGCAGGTTCCACAGCAGGTGACTCCTATGCAGCAACCACAACAAGGATCTCAACAGGCCGTATCCATACAGCAGTCACAGCACATTCCTCAGCAGGCTTCACAGCAGGTGGCACCCATACAGCAACCACAAGTATCTCAACAGGCAGCATCCACACAGCAACTACAGCATATTCCACAGCAGGTCCCTCAGCAGGTAACATCCATGCAGCACCCACAACATATTCCTCAGCAGGTCCCACAACAGATGACACCCATACAGCAGCCACAACAGGGATCTCAGCAGGTAGCATCCATACAGCAACCACACCATATTCCCCAGCAGGTGACACCCATACAACAGCAACAGCTTATTTCACAACAGGTGATACCTATGCAGCAGCCACAACAAAGCCCTCAGCAGGTGGCCTCCATACAACAGTCACAGCATATTCTTCATATTCCGCAGCAGATGACACCCGTACAGCAACCACAGCAGGTTCCTCAACAGGCAACAACCATGCAGCAGTCACAGCAAATGGCAACTGTTCAGGCACAACAAGTGTCATCTATACAGCAGCCACAGCAAGTTCCACAGCAGATGATATCAATACAGCAGCCACAGCAAGGACACCCACAAGTTCCACAACAGGTGGCATCCATGACTCAGCCCCAGCATGCTCCTCAGCAAGTTCTCCAGAAGGGGACATCAATGCAAATGGCACCAGGGCTGCAATCTAAGCAAGTTACCAGTCAGCAAATTGGATCCCTGCAGATTCCACAGCAGGTAGCCTCCATGCAGCAAGTTACACAGCGTGGGGCCTCCTCACAGCAACCTCAGCTGGTTCCCCAACAGGTGGCATGTGGGCAGTCAACTTCACAATCTCAACATATTGTACCCTTACATCAGGTCTCCGCTGTACCACAACAAGTGACACTTATGCAGCAGGTTTCACAGTGCCAAGAAATATCCCTAGATACTTCGGGGCCTCAACAAGAGCAACAAATGACTCAGACACACCATTCTACAAATCAGCATCCTTGTGTCATGCAACATACGTTATTTCATGTGCCTCCACAACAACAGAAAGAAGAGCAGTTTGTTCTCCCTTCTAATTCCAAAGATCAGTTGCCAGCTGTCTCCCAGCAAGACATGGAAAAGCATCAGCAATCTGAATTCTCAGGTTCAACTTCAGAAAAGGTGGCTTATCCCATCCAGACCCAGTATCAGCTGCAAATCCAGGAACACATGATATATCCAGCACAATCCCCACACAACCCACCAGTTTCAGAGCAGCTGCAGCATCAGCTAGAGCCAACTAACCAGATGCAGAGTCCAGAGCAAGCAGCATGTCAGATGCATGTCACTTACGCAGCACAGGGTTCAAATCAGGCCCCTTGCCCAGAGCCATTGGTTTATTCAGCTTCTGGAGTATATTCAGGTCATTCTTTGGACCAGTCAGCATATGTTTATCAAGGGCAGGCAGCATATATAACTCAACCAACGTATATGGCTCAACCTCCAGAGATCCAGCAAGCTCATTTAGCAGTACGGAATACTGATCAGCCAAGTTTTGCTGTGCATTCACCTGATCAGTCATTACACCTATTGAAGGATGGAGATGCTGGCAACATGGAATTGCAGATCTGTTCAACACAATCCACAAAAACCCATGCTTATCCATCTGAGCCACATCTGCCTGAGCCAACAATATATCTTATTCAGCAAGATTCTGGCATGAGCCACCAGGAGCTGCACCCACCACACCTGGCACATAAAATTGCAGAAGGACAACAGTCAGGGCCACAGGCACCTTTTGCCTCGTCTCAGCCATCTTTCACACCACAAATGCAACCACAACCTCCTTATCAGGAGTTTAGCCAGCAACCTATTACTCAGCCGCACAAAGCCACTATCCCTCAGTCTGCCTTTGATACATTACAGACTGTAACTTCTGTATCAGAACAGCCAGAACAAGCTTATACAATGCAACAATCTTTGGATGTGTCAGGACTGTTGAATCATGCTCCTCTCCTCCAACAGTCTCAAACATTTCAACCAATTGACAATAACCAACAGTTTATTCCTCCACCAGTACAACCAGCATACATTCAACAGCAGTCAGTATGTCAGAACTCAGTTTTATCTGTAGACTTGATTGTCCAGGAGCAGATGCCTTTTAAGAATTCTATGGCAGCTTCTTTGAACCAGCAAGCAGCATTTACTGCTGTGAATGAACCAAACCAAGAGTATCATCAAGGACAAGACATTCCACAGGTATGCCAGTAGTTATATCTATAAAAAAAAATCACTTTCTCAGTAACTTAATCCCAGAGAAGGGCAAAGGAAAAAATGTTTATTATAAGAGAACGTTTAATTTTTTTAATCCTAACTTTTCACTTTCAAATTTTATTTCACTAAGGAACAGTAATTTGCATTAAGGGAAAAAGGATAATGGTGATATTAGAAGCAGGTCTTTCCACTTGCTAATTTCTCTAATAAGAAAATTATCAACCTGTACATAAATAATCTAGATGTACAAAGGAAAATAACTATATAGAACTTCCCTATTCCTTGACAGCTGCACAGGGTTCAGCCTATGATCCATGGTCATAGGTTCTTAAGTGCAGGTTTATCATGGAGCACTATGGAGACATTTTTTGTGGGGGAAAGCAAGGTGGTTTTTTTTAGTTTTCCCTCATCTCCACCTTTTAATTTCTAGAAAGGAATTTTGGTTGTCTTTTGTTTGTAATTTTTGCAAACCACCAAATACATGAATATATTGCGAGGGAGTGGTTAAAAAACACATGTCAATCTTATTTATTTTATTTTATTTTATCTTATTTTTTATTTTTTTTCAGGTGGGGAAAGTTACAAGATATTTATCAAATGTTTGCAAGTATGACGGTTACCTGAGGGTGGGTGGAAAGGTTGTTCAGTTATTGGTTAATTTGATAGAAGCAAGAGTAAGCACAAGTTGGTCATATTTGAAGCTCCACACTCAGAAAAAAATAGTGCTTCCATAATTATAGCTTTGTGAAATGTCCCCATCGGTCAAAAATAGTGAAGTCAAATGTATTCTGATTTTATTTAAGCATACTCATTATAAAGAATGGAGAATCCCGTGGGCTAATAGCCTCCCTTAACTATTACCAACTGGTTAATCAGTCAGTTTGAAAATTGTTTTGCTTAATAGTGAAAGTAGAGAGAAGGCCAAACAAATTTCTAGCAGAAATTTCTATCAATTTTGCTAAATTGAGCATCCTCATAAAAACAAATCAGTTTGACATGTTAGAAATTAATGAATAGTCTGTCTATCAGACATTAGAATTCAAGCAGAACTACATGAGGTAGCTGTAAGTGATTGGGTCAATTTATGAAAACTGTTCATCAATTAGAAATGCTGCTACAAAAGAAAGTAATACTCTATAGGACTTTTTTCTTTTTTGGAATTGGGTTCTGGATTATGAGTTTGGGATACAAACAATATGGATTTGTTTGGTGTTGTATTGGCCGATCGATCACAAAGAGACGCGAGGCAGTGACTAGTTTAAAGCTCTTTTTATTTCAGGTTTGAATCTGCCGCCGGCTGAGTATGCGGCGGCTTATATTGAACTGGTGCCGGGTGCCGCGGCCAATGACAGCTGTTCGAATCACCCGCGATCGGCTCAGCCAATCGCGGTTGCTTCGTGACGGCCAATCAGTGCCGCGCACTCGACCAATCCGGTTGCTGTGCGTTTAGCCAATCAGGAGTGCAGGTTTCCAAGAATGCAAATGTCCATACAGAACATTTGGAGTGAATTGCAACATGTCATTTAGATCACATTTTCTTTTCTGTGAACTGGTGTTGGACAAAAAGTCTCCCAGAAAAAAAGTAGGAATGGAATGGAATGGAATGGAATGGAATGGAATTTTGAGGTCTTCTAGTGCATCCCCCTGATCAAGTAGGAGAACCTATACCATTTTAGATAGGTAACTGTCTGGACTTTTTCTTAAAACATCCAGTGTCAGAGAGCCCATGGTTTCTGGAGGCAAGAAACAAGAAAAAGTTTCCCTTGGTTCTCTTTTTGTTAACTGTTTCACTAATTTGCTTTTAATTGTGAAGTTTTAAGATAAATTGACAGGCATGGTTTTGTTGAGGGTTACTTCCTAAATTTAAAATATTAAAAAATAGATATAATCCAAGAGCCTGTGTAGGGAGAAAAAGTGGGCATTCCCTTGCCTTTCTTTGATTTTATGTCTCTGCCAACATGTTACTTGATTGCATTTGGTCCTATTTGCTGAGCCAACCTGGTTCTCAATTTCTTATCTCAGTATATGATTTGTCTTCCTTATCATCCTCTCCCATATAATATAGTTCCAGCTGTTTTTGTGTGTGGCCCCCTCCCCTGCCTCATGGGTCTTTTCTCTAGTGCATGACTTCTAATACCTACCATTACTTCAAAATTTTCTTTCCTCCTTCTTGCTGACTCCGTCTTTTTCTTTTTAGCTGCCTAGGCATTTTGGCCTGTAATTTAAATTGTGTACAAGTATCACATCTCAGTTATCCTGTCTTCTTAATGATACAGTTCACTAACTTCTTGGATCCAGCTTAAAGTTTTAATTTCACAAAAATTGCTATCTCATGCCTTAAATTCCTTAAAGAAGACTGGCTTGAGTCTTGAATCCCATGAAGCCTTTTAATTCTCTTAGTACTTAGATTATTAATGAGCTTTAAAAATAACCACATATAGGTTTAATTGTATTATAAATCACTAGCTGTAGAAATCTTTGGATTATATTTCTATGTGCCTGTTGTACTGTTGCTTTTACATTTTTTGGGGTTGGACTATTCTGGTTAGAACAATTATCTTTAGTGTAATGTTTATGAATCTGAAGCAGAGGTGGTATTTAGCAGGTTCTGACCAGTTCGGGAGAACCAGTAGTGGAAATTTTGAGTAGTTCAGGGAACTGGCAAATACTCCCTCTGACTGGCCCCACCCCCATCTATTCTCTGCCTCCTGAGTCCCAGCTGATCATCTGGGTCTTCTTTTGTTGCCCTGCACAGGAGAACGGAGCTGGAAAGCAGGTTAGTGGGATGGGGAGGGAATGGAGATTTACACTAACCTTCCCCTGCCACGCCCACCAAGCGACGCCCACCAAGCAATGCCACACCCACCAAGCAATGGCCACGGAACCGATAGTAAAATTGTTTAATCCACCATTGATCTGAAGGCTAAAATTACATAAAAAGTTCTGCATACTAGAAAGCAATTCCTATCTAATTTTTGAGTAGAAAGACAGCTCTAAGTCAGGGCAGCAGTATCAGTTATACTTGGATGAAGTACAGTAAAATCTGAGAAAGTTACAATTGTTTCCTTATTAGTGATTTGTAGCCTGTTGTATCATTTAACCATCAGTGAGCCAATATAACAATAATGAAAAGGTGCTTTATCTTGTCACAAAGATGATGATTTACAGAAGACTATAAAATAAAAAGAAAATGACTACAAAAACACAGTTTAAATAGCTAAGAGGAAAAAAGCAAACACAATACTTCGTTAAAACTTCCAAGATAAAATATTGTGCTGGTTTATTTTTGATACTTTATCTAGTAAAGCATGAGTGTGTGCTATATCAAACACACAAACCATTTGCCTGTTCTGGAGTTAGTTCTTTTCTAAAAGTTTTCCCCTGTTCAGGGGAAATTAGCAAATGGTACACATCCATTTACCCCTTTTCTCCTCACAGGTTTCCATCTCAGTATCAGATGAACATGAGCATCAGCTAGCAGTTCAAAAACAAGAGTCTATTCAAGGGTGAGTTTGCTCTAAGATTAATTCGCTTGGCTGTCAAGAGGATTGGATTTCAGCTCACATTAACCAAGAGTCAATATAATAAAACTGGAGACTCCTAAGTGGGGGAAAGATAGCTTAGAATATTATGCCCCAGCTTGGTGAACAGTTACATTCTTTATTGATAAGTGAAGAACTGAGAGGACTGTGAATATATCCAGAAACAGAAGATGACTTGAAAAGGTAACAGTTCTCAAAGAATGTGAGAAGAAAGATGACATGTTTAGGTATTTCTTTTAATCAAATGAAATGTTAAAAAAAAAACGTGTGGAATCTCTTTACTAAAATAGTTTAGATTAAGCATTTTTAAGAGTGTGTGTCTTTAACAATTCATTAAACACTCTTTAAGTTATCAAAAATGTTCTTTGCTGCATCATTCAGTTTCAATACTTGGCCATTTCTCTGGCAAAATTTCCTACTGTACAGTAGGCCCACATTGTTTTCTACATACTATTTCAGCAGAACATAACAGCAATGGGCAAAACTGAAGCTACAACGTCACATTTGTAAAGATCCATATATAGCTATGCCTTCCCTGTCCTATGTAGATATGCACAATCTACCCTCATGTCCAGTTTCCTTAGTTAGAGCACAGCACAGAAATATAACAAACTGCCATTGAAAAAAGCTCTAAATTTCTTGTTCCCTAAGTTGGAATGTAATGGGAGAGTGGGAGGATGTGCGGATATGCCCAAATTTGTTTTAGTGAAATTGTATGGCTGTGGTTTTAGCCTTGGCATCATTCTCGTGGCCCTCACTCCCTCTATCCCAAGGTTAAAAACAGTGACCTGTACCTTATTAATTAATTATTGCAGTGAGGAATTTGTGACTAAGAGTAACATAGATTAAGGTCGATATGTTTCAACTCAGTTTTAACTTAAATCACAGTTTCTTTAAAATTGTAAGCACAAAGTATCCCCAAAAGACTGTTTTAGATTAATCTGAGAGCAGTTACACTTTTCTGCAGAATAGGATCAGTGCTTCTAAGAGATCCACTTTGCTGGATCCAGCTTCTTTTGCACTGGCAAGAACATTCCCTATGTGTGTTCAGAAAGCTGTCATCATTGAAGTAGAAGGAAAAAATCTTTGTCAATTATACCTTAAGCAATATCATTTCCTTTCCCATTCTGTCATTGAAAATTTGAAAATTTTCCACAGGTAGAAGTTGCCCTTCCCTACATGAACAGAATTTCCTATGTCCAAGTTGCTGAGTTTAGGATGTTTTATAATAGAAATAAAGAAGCAATTTGGCAGTTTTTCAAGCATAATAATTTATACTATTTCCTTGTCAAAAGCATTTTAGTCCAGTAGATATACGTGTTCAGCATGAGCAGTGATGGACATTTTAAAATCATTTTTAAGTTACTGAACAAGTAGTGCCTGCCTTAGTCTAAATTTTGTCTTTTCTGCATTTATTGTTTTGGCTCTGATTTAAGCTATTGGTATATTGAAATTTTTGTTTTATATATTTATTAATGTTTAGAAAGTTTAGGAGGTAAGGCTATGCCTGTCTTTCTTTTGTTTAGCTTGGTACAGGACCTTCCCAAGGAAGGTGTGACTGGCTGTGACCTTCCATGTGGAAATGGCAAACAAGACAAGAGCAAACAGAGAAGGACCTCCTGTGCCCGGTCAGAGAAGGGAACCAAATTTCAACTCACCGTGCTGCAGGTTTGTATATTTTTAAACTAGAAGCTTTTAAATAGGGATATACAACAAAATTGCTGGCAAGGTTTCCTGCCTTCTCTGACTTTATTTTTTCTTTTGACAAAGAAGTTACCAAAGTTCTACCAAACTACCTGTAAAGCAAGGCATCATCAAGTAGCATCACTTTTCTTGAGAAAAATGCCACTGGCCTTCACATAGCTCTTACAGGAATACTTCATAAATATATATATATAAAAAAAAACCAGTGAGCAATTGCACTCCAGCACCTTGCTTGGAATGTGCTTAGAATAGAAGTCAAAGGTAACTTTGGAGAAGTAGAAAGTAACCTTATCTGATAAGTAATTGATTTATGACTGGCCATTTTATGGGGCCAATTTATATGTAGGCAAAATCCTTCTATAATCATCATTTTCTGACAGTGCTCAAGATACACTTTTCAAAATTACAAATAATTCACTAGCCCCAAAATATTTGCATGATCCTGGAGAACAGGATGTAGAAGAGAAACAAGATTACATAAGAGCGTATCTTCAGATCTTGTGACAACATCAATAAAGAGATTGTTTACCTTAGCTTAAGTGCTAATGTTTTCACAATTTTGGTTACTGCTTGCAGTTAAAACAGTGATTTAATGTTACCATGCATTCAATAAAATGGGTTCTATATATCTATGTATTAAACAGTGACCAATTTTAATTGACTTACAATTGGCTGAGTTTGTACATTCCACTAAGGCATAAGTCATATTTTGTAAACTATAGTGCTTGGGTTCACCCATAGCTAAGCAAAAACAAGACAAACCACATTAATTCTTATTGCAGGTGGAGAATTATTTTCTCCGTTTCTGTTAAGAACCAGTACTTTGGCTCTTCTAATTCATAGGCAATATTTCAGATATGTGTGAATGTTTATATTGCAGGATGCAGAAAGAACAAAACCAGCTAGTTGCCCTCTATTGACACAATGTTTTCATCATTAGAAGATGAAGCAGTCTCATATGATTCCTAATTCTTTGGTTAATGATACAGTATGTGACCTGTAACACATGCATTGAAAGAGCTGACCGTTCAGTCAGAGCTGAAGAAGCTTCTTGGATGAGAAGCAAAACGTTTTCAAAGAAAAACCAAAAAGTCCAGTTGCCTCTTGAAAAAAAGCACCTTTGGGACATGCATTTAAATAAAAATTATTGACAAGGTTGAGCCTTGCCATAGTAAAGACAATTATAATAGTGCTTTGTTGTTGAACTGCTCAGGTGATTTTATGGAATTGGTAGCAAAGTATAACTTACATTCGATGTTAAAGGTAGAAAAAAAAGATGTATTCTGCATCTATCTAATAGCACAATGTCTTTTTTGTTGCTGTTCAATCAGGTATCAACATCTGGAGACAATACTGTTGAGTGCCAACTTGAAACGCATAACAACAAGATGGTTACATTTAAATTCGATGTTGATGGAGATGCTCCAGAGGATATAGCTGATTACATGGCAAGTTACATATGCCTTGATTCAAAGTAGATAATTCCTTACTAATGGCATTCGAACTTTTAAAAATTATTTAGATGCTATATAGTTCAAATGCAAGTACTCTGCTTCCTCAATATTCCTCAAGTTATATAGAACTTCCTAAAGCCAAATTTTAGTTTTGCAGCTCATATGCCTACATTTTATTTATTTGAGAATTAATTTTGATTAATTTTGGGGGCAAGACTATAAAAATGAAGAGGATTGGGGACTGTTAGAGAAATGTCTGAGTATAAAGGATAGAAATATATGGCTGCACTTTACTTTTGGAAACATCACATTTGGAATTTCTGAAAGCTATTAGCTTTCTTTAGACTGGTAGTATAATTAATATTTTAGTCCTAAATATTTTATTATTTGTTAAAATTATTTATCACTCATCCTGCCATGGGGCTATTCTGGGGGAGGAAAAGCTTACAATAGTGAAAATGAGATTTTTTAAAAATTAAACAAAAATAGCAAAGTAATTAAATAATAAAACAAGGAAACTACAATAAAATGAATTTTAAAAAAGAGGGAGACCAGGAAGCGTGGAGGGGGGGAATATGAGTGCAGTTAATTCGTCTGGCATCAACCTCTATTTCAAGTACTCCCCCATTGGGTCTCCAAGCCAGCCAGCAAAGCCAGATCTTCAGGCCCTTGGCAGAAGGAGAGTGGAGGCAAACCTCACCCCATGGGGATGGGCAAGATGTCCCCCCTCAGCACTACAGCAGAGGAAGCCTTTCTCCTCGATCCTCCTAGTTGAAGTTCCGTGTGACCTACTGGCATGAATACCTGGGAGTATATTACCTGGGGGTAAGGGACAGGAGGAGAAGAGAAACATTAGAAAAACATTTCAGAGCGTGCTCTGTGTTTAAATTAGCATTTTGAAAGCATATGCATTTCATATTTGAAAGCTAACTTTGCATCATGAACCTTATTCTTTTTATTAGAAACTATTTCATCACATGGGATGTACTTTCAGGTGACCATTCATAGAATTATATCCTTCATATTATACTATAGAACAATTATTCCAAACGTACTCATCATCTGTCAGGAAATAGTACAGGGATATTGCTTCGAAATAAGTATGTTCTATGATTGATCGATTAATGGGCTCATTTGAAATTTTGAGAACACTTACCAGATATTCACAAAATTGGCAACATTGTTGGGCAAGGCTAATCACAAACCATGCATTCATCAGGAGACAAATAGATATTGCTGCTTACCATAATTCCAGCCCCCCAGATAGTGCCCAAAGATGTTTGTAAAAATAAAAAATGATGTCAGATATTAGTATTTTGCTTTGTAAGAAAAAAGTAAAAAATAAAATTCAGATGGATATGAAGCCAGACAATATTAATATTTCAAAAACAGAGGTATTTCCATTAGTACAAATTATAATAGAAGAACTGGACACCGGCATCATATGAGAAGAGTTGGCATTTCATAAAGGAACAGAAATTAGCATTATTGGGAAATAAAGCTTCAGTAAAAAAATTTAGAATACTTTTTTCAAGCTTAATGTTTTGTAATAACTCTGAATATTTGGAATGTGAATATTTATGGGTGAGATCTAATTTTCTACAGCATGTTGGAATAGGTGATAACCAGAAACTGAACAGCAAAATGAGGTTTGTATCCATATCTTCTATCCTGTTTCTCCCACCCCTCTTCCCTTTCCCACTTACTAGGTTGAAGATAATTTTGTTTTGGAAAATGAGAAGGATAAATTTGTTGATGAACTGAGAGCTATTGTTTGCCAGGCTCAAGACATCATTTCTAGTCTTCCTATTGAAGAACGAGCCGCTGGCATGGAATCATCTGCTGATCCGAATAACTGCCAAGTAAGTTTAGCTTTTTTTAGTAATGCCAGTTTTCTGGAAAGATGTGTACTTATATTGGGAAACTCCCTTTTTATATTTATCTATTCATTTTTAATTCAGACAGGATCTTCTGAACAAGTTCAGATAAATCCAGCATCTACTCAAAGTGGCAGTAAGTAACTATTTTAAAACATTTAATCCTGCAGGACCCAAAGCAACACTCTGAAACTCACAAGACTAAAACCATCCTTATTTAAAAATAGATCTATGGAACATAGTGGATTTTTGACAAAGGTCTATTCGAAGCTCTTTTCCCTTTTGTCCTTTCAATCCCTTTTATCATAAAAGGGAAACACTATCATGTTTACCTTTGATTCTCTGGACTGCTGCAGAGAGTCAGTTGCTGACTGCAGCAGTCCTGTTGATTTTAGTGGAATATTCTAAACATGTTAATGACATTATCATAGGCTGAAGAATGGTAAATAACGAGCTCCTAATGAATGTTGCTAAATTAGGATTATTTATGGAGTTGGCTTGGTGGATCTTTTAAGAAAATTTAGAAATAATAGAAGCCTGTTTGGTAAAAGCTATGCCTCATAGATACATAAGTTGTATTCACTACCAACTCCTTAAGATTATCCCTGCATTGAAAAAAGGGACTTACGACTATTTTTCACACTCACAGCCATTGCGGCATCCCCATGATCATGTGACCAAAACTTAGATGCTTGGCAACTGGCTCATATTTATGACAGTTGCAGTGTCCCCAGTGTCATGTGATCTCCTTTTGCAATCTTTTGACAAGCAAAGACAGTGGGGAAGCCAGATTCACTTAACCACTTGTTACTAACTTAAGAACTGCAATGATTCACCTAACAACCATGGCAAGAAAAGTTATAAAATGGGGCAAAACTCACTTAACAAATTAGCAACAGAAACTTTAGCCTCGCTTGTGGTCGTAAGTTGAGGACTACCTATATTAAGTAGTGAAAATGTATGCCAAGGCAGCAAAAGGCATTGAGCACTACATATGCATTAAGGATAAAAATGGATGGTAGGGCAAAGTTAATCTTGAAAGCTAGCAGCAGTACTTTGATGAAATCTCTGATGTCAGATTTCCACACTTGCAAATCCCTGCTGGCTCGTCTAATATTGGCCCAGGCCTGCACATGACTATGCACCTTAAGAGGTTATCAAAGCTATCAACGGCATGAATTTTAAGTACATAACCATGATGTAACCAAATGGGTCATAATGCCAGCATTATGCCAACACCAGCAGCTGAGTAAGATGCACCACTGGCCTTTTGACAACTTTCCTGCAAAAGTTGGCATGCACTTTGGCATTATTGCCATTGCTGATAATTCACATCATGGATACCATCATGCAATACCTGTATCGTAGTTTCTCCTACCAAGGCCTTGCTCCAGGATAATGATGTCCTGCTTGCAGCTACTACAGGAAGCACTGCAGCAGTGCAGTGCTGTGTCCAAATATGGAATGATCATTTTAGCCAATTTAGTTTGCATTTTAATATCCAAAAGAAAGCAAGGAAGGAAAATTGGGAGGGAGGGAGGGATTTTAATATTCCTTGCCAGTTTCCCCCAAGGAAACTTAATGGAGAAGCCAACAGGAAGTCCAAAGTCAGTCATGATGCCACTGCCTTTTTGCCTACCCCTGCTCATTCTGGTTGTCTCTTCAACAAAATATCTCTGAAACAAGGACCCAATGGGTTATGGGTTGTCTAGTGTGAACTATTTATTGTGATCCTTTATAATATACAAAATCAATCAGTTTCAAACATGGTTGGTTTCCTAATTTTGTTTCAATAGTTGCATTAGCAGAACAATTGCAGTTTTATTATTGTTCTCAAACTAAGCATCTGGTTTTTTGATTTTGTAATTTCACATAATTCTAACATGCATGTTTTTAGGTCCCCAGGGGACCGGAATGCTTATGATTCTGGCCATAATGCAGAGTTCCATAATTCAAACATCATCGTAGTTTGTCCCAACCCGGTTTTCTGTAGAGCCATTTGGCAAATATCTACAGTTCTTTTGGGTTGAGCTGGCCAATAAAACTGCTAAATAAGTATTAGAATACAACTTGCAGAATTTCCAACTATTGTGCTGACTGGCAATTTGGGGAGTCAGGTTGAGGGAGGCTGAGTTGAGTGATAATTAGTTGTGTTTATAAAGCAGAAGTCTTTCTTATGTAAAGACAATTGTAAAACATGGAGTTTTCAAAAGCAAATTATGATTGTTACTTGGTATGTTTGGTGGAGCTTGATACAGCTCTTTGGATCCTAATGCTGCAATCTGTAGTGTGAGTAAAAGTTACGGATCTTTTTCTGGGTTGAGTAATTAATGATACAATCAATGTAAATTTTGATAAAATAGAAATACGTCATACAAGCCAGATATGTATCAGAAAGCCTTCTCCTGAGAAAAAATCAAACTCTGGATTAAAAGGAAATCTGTTGAATTCACTAATAATCTGATTATTTTATTGATTATATTTTAGATATCTTTTTTCCTTTGTTCTGAGCTTTGTTCCATGGAAATTAAACTCATGGTTACTTTCTGATACCTCAGCAGTGCTTTTGATTTGTTTCAGTTGCAATTAAATAATAGTGTAAATGAATAAAATTAATTAATACAGAATGGTTCTATTGAAGCAGGATCAATATGTCATGTACCAATACATTTAATAAAGACAAGCAAAGGACAGGTGTGTCACATCATGCAAATTTCATAGATGTGTATGCAATTTATGATAAATATGGTGGAAATATGGCCTGAGAAACATTGTTTTTACTAATGAACATCTTTGAACTTAGGTTTTGGGATAGGGTGGTATCAAGCATCTGTAGAATTTTATCCAATATTCTTCTAGATATTCACAACCTTTGATCTCATTGTTGTATTGTTTTCTTACAGTTAATGTTGTAAATCACCCAGAATGAGTTTCTTATGAAGTTAGATGGTCTTTAAATTGAATTAATTAATACATGAAAAATGAATAAACAAATGTGTATGTATTGTCAGCCAGAAGAAGGATAATTTTGAATAATCGATTTGTACAGAAAGGAAAGAGGAAAGAAAAGCTTTTATGTTTCATTAGTGGCTTCTAAAGGAACACTACTTTCATTTTAAAAAATGCATCTAAATAATGTTTAAAAAAAACACGAAGGAAGAGAGTCCACCCTTCACACAGCATTAGACTTAGTGTTTACTCTGATGTCGACACTTTAGTGTTCCCTTATGTCTATTAATCCTAATGCTAATCTTAATCCCAATATTAAGGATAATCACCTAACAGGCATCCTAATTAGTTGGATTAGAATGATTCAGGCTTGAAGGTGAGAAATTATTTGAAGTGTACTTCATCAATGTACACATTGGACATTTTAACTTCTTAAAACACAACTGGAACAGCAATCATGAAAATCCAGGAAAAATAAAACTCTTTCCATGTGGTGCTATCCACAAGTGTGACAGGAGCACCCATACATATTACTAATCAGCTTTTCCCCTTCAAATCCAGATTTCTGGATAACCCCACTGATAATTTTACTTCTAAGATTCCTTTTTTTGCAACAGCAGTGCTGTTTTTGTAATTATCTAAACAATGAAGTGATCTCCCCTGCTTGCTCTTTCCCTCCCTCTCTCTCTCTCTCCCTCTCCTTTTAGGCGATGCTGCTCCCCAGTCATCCCCTGTTGGCCGCTGGAGGTTTTGCATCAACCAAACAATAAAGAACAGAGAAACCCAGGCGTCTTGTACCCCAGTACAGTCAATGAAAACTGTTGAAGGATGTCAGACAACAGGTGAATACATGTTTTAGGAGGAGCGGAGGAATGGCAGATTTTTCTTTTCGCATAATATAATACCTGGATGATTTTGGAACTGGGCTTTGCTTAAATAAGAGTGGCTCAGTATGCAAAGTATTAGGTGAATGATGGTGAAGAACAGCAGACTATTTGAGAATCTCTTTCTTTTCACTATTACTGCATTTACTTGAAAGGAAGGCAATCTGAATTTGAAACCATGTTCCATCCCTCAGAAGATTAAGCAAACTTACAAAAAGCCTTATTTGCCCTGTGATCACATTTCCATTTTGAAAGCAATTTTTTTTTGGGGGGGGGGATAGTAATAAAGTATTTTCCTATGAAGATACTATGAATATCTTCATAGGAAAATATTTTATTACTTTAGGGATAGCCAATCCAGTTAATGGCAGTTGTTTGATCTTTGAGATCCCAGCCTCTTAACACTGTGCTAAAGTGATTAAGTTCATATTTTGTGGAAATGTTTTTCATTTTTCTGAAGTTTTATGGAAATTTCACACTTTTTACCGTTCTTTTCGGTCACTGTTAAAAAAAAAGATAATTTGCTTATTTGTTTGTTGCCTTATTGGTTCATGCACAATAATTATGTTGACAGAATTAACTTTGCCATTTTTTACTTTATTTTTTTCTTAGATTAGTATGTTGATGGATAGTCATAAAGAAGCACAAACTATATAAAATCAATTTTAATACCTGCAGCAAATCTTCATGTTCTAATAGAGAGCACAGCATAATCAGCTTCACCCATATTCAGTTCAATACTGAATTTGTGTCATATCACCCCTGATGAAGAAAATTCGTGATTTAATTGGCATTAGGGTTGGGCAAAAAATAAATATATCACTGACCTATAATAATTATCATTTTAACATATATTTAATAAAACAATGAGCTTTCCATCTTAATACAATGATTTCTTTGGAAATAAATAAAAGAAACCCTTTATTTGCCCAGACATTAAATGTTACTGTTCATAAGATCTTGTTTTCTTCCCCTCCCTACCAACCCATCCTTTTAGTTTTTACTTTGCTGTTTTTTATTATTTTGATCAAAACATCTTAATGAGAAACAGCTAAAAAATAGATAAATATTTTAAAAGAAAAAAAAGTATCTCACCTCAATTGAGGCGATCATATCACCTCCATCCGAGTTTTTGTTATTTCAATATTTCTCTCTGGGCTCTTTCTGTGATATCTTTTTGCCCAGCCTTTCCCAACCTTGGTGCCCTTAAATATGTTGGGACTGCAATGCCATGAGCTATGCTAGCTGAGAATACTGGGAATCTTGGTTTTCAACATATCTCCAGGATTCCAATTCTGATGAGGTTCTTCTGTTTCAGATTCATAAGGTTTAATTTCCTAAGCAAATCTGAAAATAGTGGCATCTGAATTTTTTAAACCATCTCTCGCTTGGTCATAATAATCTTTAACTTTTACTGTGAAATGTTACATTTTAGAAGAAGAAGCAGTAGTAACCAACATGGTGATTGGCTCTTAAAGCTTTATTAATAATATGCTTTTTTCTGGAGTTTTATTTGCTAGCCTCAATTGTTCATCTGTTTTGTTGCAGATTGTATAAAGGAAAGTACAAAAGAAGAGAGACCCAAAGATTGTTCACAACCTGTGGACAATCTTAGTAACCAACATAAGCCTAGTCCTTCTTTCAGCTCAGAGGATTTGACAAGTGACAGTGTGATATCTGAACCCCAAATTTTGGAACCTGAACATTCAGCTCTTTCTCATGAAGCAGAAGGCAGCATGGATAAATTACCATCTGCCTCTACAAGTGACAATACTGATGTTACTACTTACGATTCAGAGGCTTGGCTGGACCCTTTGCCAGCAGAGACTCAGTCTAATGGAGCTCCCCTATCTTCATATGTATCTCATCCAGCATCTGTTGTGAATGAGTTGAATTTGTTCACAGAAGCCTTTGAATCCACACCAATGATCACCGAGGAAGCAGAACATGTAATAAATGCTGAGCAAACAGCCGCTTCGGCGCATACTCCGAGTCAGGAAGGAATTTCCTCCACATCCATTCTAGAATCAGACAGTGAGGGGCCCCCTAAGATAGATTTTGTTGACAGCAATATCAAAACTCTGGATGAAAAGCTGCGGACACTTCTGTATCAGGAGCACAGCTTGTCAGGCACTTCTCCTGAGAGCCAAAAAGACACACAGAGCGCAGTGGAGTCTCCATTTTCCTCATCTGCTGAAGATACTTTTCCCTGCCCGGGACATGAAACACAGGACACTAATTCCCCGCAAGAGACTGAACCCCAAGCTGCACTCATTCCATCTGGAAGTCATCCTGATAGCTTGCCAGTGATGAGGCAAGAGGCCAGGGTTATTACCTCTGTTCCCAGGGATTTCTGCAGACATGTGAGTATTGACAGGGTTGGTGGGGGCTGAAAATGGTTTGCCCACTAAAGAAATACAGAATATTGCTGAATGCCTGTATAAATTCATCTCCTTCATTGATCCTGGCAAATGAAAGGTAAGCATTGATTCCACACAGATGGTTCCAACATGTTTTTTTTCCCCTATTCATCCATTTAGTAACGTGGTTTTTAAATGGGAAGAGAAATCTGTGTGGAAAATCAGGAAATCATAGGGACCAGAGATCTGATTATATGTAAAATTAATCAGGAAACTGGTTTAATGAATGAATTAAATGGTGTTTTAAAATTGGTTTTAAAATTTTAAAATTGGCATTCCTCTTTTTTCCACTTAAACTATTAAGATTTTCAGAAATTGGACATTCAGATTTGTTTAGAGATGGGTTGATGTAGCATTAAGTAAGGAGGTGATCTTTAATGCATCTGAGGCTCAAGTGGTATGTGAAGCAGCATCCTCATCCTGCTATTCAGATATTGTTTCTTTTCTGCTTGCTTCCCTGCTCCCCTTATTTTGTTCAGGAGATGTCCTTGGAGACTTCATTTCCTGAGAATCCCGTGGCTTGTCCTGCTTCAGAACCAAGTGGTGGAGCTGTGAACCTTCATGCAGGAGGTGGATATTTTGGCCTAAGCTTTACTTGCCCTAGTCTCAAAAACCCTATTAGCAAGAAATCCTGGACTCGCAAATTAAAAAGCTGGGCATACAGGCTACGGCAGACCAGCTTTTTCAAGAGATCAAAAGTCCGGCAAGGTAGTGTGCTTACAGTCAGGGATCTAGACTAGGTAACATCTGTTTTGATTTCTTTAAGTATGTTTCTCTTTCCTCCTCCTCCTCCTCCTCTTCCTCTTCTTTTTTTTTAAAAATTTGGGCATTTCTTGAAAATCCATATATCCCTGTGTAACATTTCATCCGTCACCACTTTGTTTTCTGGTTTGATTAACCAGTTTTTTCATTCCACATAGAAGCATAGGTCTTGGGATATTTAAAAAAAAAGCCTACATGTATAGTAGACTCTTATTTTATAATGTAGTACTGTTTGTTAGTGTTCACATGGTCACAGATTTACCTGACCTGTTTTGTTTTTCCTTTGTGTTTGTCCCCCCCCCACCTGCCCCCCCCCCCTTTTAAAATCACAACAGAGGAGATGACTGCTGATGTTGCTTCTGACTGGATTTCTCTTTCTGAGCAAGCAACCAGAGATAATAAAATATCTGGTCATTCTAAATCTGGAGCTGGATCATTCCAGCGAGGCAGATTTCAGGTAACTATAATTTCATTCATTCGTTCATACTCAAATATGTCCCATCCAACAATAATTTATATTTGGGGATCAAAAATAATTTTTTGTTGGGGATCAAAAATATTTTATTGTTGATATATTGAATAAAAGGATGTATGTTGTGCAACAATCCTTGTTGGCTTTTCAGCAAGTGCATAGCTGTAATAATTACTTGAGGTATTGAGTTAGGTCCCCAACTGGTTAACCTTCTAATGTGTTGACTTCAATTATCATATTTGATGATTCTGAGAAATTTAAATCATACACTTGGAAATTGCTAAAGTTGGGAAGCACTATTCTAGGTGGCATATATTTCAAGTCATTATCTTTCACTTGGGCAAAAAGTAGAATAACTGAAGCTCAGGTTTTTGGTTATAGCTTTATTGAACCAATGATAACTGGTTTGTAATTTTTAGATGTATTAATTATGAGAAGCAGATGAGTATCATTTAATGCATGGGTCGCCAACCTTTTGGACCTCAGGGACCACCAAACTCATAATTTAAATCCCAGGGACCACTAAAACCGGTTCTGTGGTCATGGCCTAATTTGTGGGGGTGACTTGGTGGTCATGTGACTGGCTGGGCATGGCTTGTATGTAAATATTATAAATATTTACATAAATATTGATAAATATTTATATAAATATTGATTTTTTTTTTTAGCTTAGTCTGTCACATAAAATTTGCTAGCAAGCAAACTCACAAAATTAACTCACAACACACCATGGATGTAAATATTGAATATTTTTATTAAAAAAGAGCAACTTTTACCCAAAATCAGGCAAAGCAGGCAGATTGAATAGCTCACAGAATCATTCAGTGATCTATCTATCTGCCATCGGCTAGCTCAATCACTCAAATTTGCTTGCTGTGAGTCTGCACTGAATAATAGAACTTTCAGTCCTAAAGGAGGTTCAGCTGTGCTTAAAAGCAGAGCCAAAGATCTAAAGACTAGCTAGAAAGCAAGAAATCCAACCATTTCCTGCTTTCTAGTTAATTTAAATCTCCAGGCACAGCAGAACAGCTGATGGTTGGAAAAGGGAAAAATAGCAATTTAGCAGGCAAGTTTGCCGGATAAGTGAATGGGCAGAGAGGGTTCCCGCGGGCCATGTGGGTGGCGCAGCCTTATGTTTCTGGGCAGCCTGGATTAATTGCTTTGGGGGAGTGCTGTGGGGGTGAGATTTCTCTGCGGCCCACCAAAATTTTCTCACGGCCCACCAGTGGGCCGTGGCCCACTGATAGGCGACCACTGATTTAATGCCTGTGTCATTGCTAGCTCTGCTGTATTACTACAGAATTTGACAAGTGGTAATTGGTTCAGGTTTACATAGTAACACAGATTTGTATCTGTAAGCTGCAACGTTGCATATGAAATGTTGATTCAAATTTGGAGAGGTTTGTTTATAAAACTGATGATTCTTGAAACAATTGTTTCAAACTCAAAACAGGGCACTTCAAATTGAAATTCAGGGTTGTCTGAGAAAAACGTAGATTGTTTCTGTGCTACGAATCCATTATGACACAATTGAGTAAAATAAAAACAAAGTGAACCTCCAAAAAACATAATCTGACTTGGTTTTAGGTACAACCCAGGCAAAGTAATCAATCTTTTCTAATAAACATGGATTTAGCACCTGTTTTATTGAAGCTTGTTTCTTGCACTTCATTATTCATATTTTGTGTATTTCTACCTCCCTCCCTGCTTCCTCCACCCATTTTCTCTAACTGCTTCTCATTTGCCATTTTGAAGAAAATTTCCTAGCTTGGTAATTAAACTTAGAAAAAGATCCCATTGCATCCAAGGGAGATTCCCCCCCACTCCTAATTGCTGCAGCTAGATGATTCTCATCAGTGTCCCAGGATGCAGGAATATTTAAATTATACCCCCCCCCCCCCGCCATGAATTGCATCTAATTGGGTTTAGCAAAAGAACAGCAGTTATCTTCATTTTTTTAAAAAGGGCTTGCAGAAGAAGAAAGTGGGTCAAGAAGATGAAGCCGTAGTTCATTTTTGAATCTACTGCAGTGTGGAACTATCCTATTTTTGGTACTGCCCATCAGAAAATGGGAAGTCTCAAGTAGAGGGAAGAAATTTTGGGAATAATACATTTATGCCTTAGGATAGATTGTCTTTTTTAATTTAGAACATGCTTATCCAGTTGTCGCCAAAGACAGCAATGCTGGTTCTGGCATGTCTGGCAGTGTAGATATGATTCCATAACAACAGGATGAAATGACACTCTTATATGTTACAGCAGAATCAGTCTATCTATCTATCTATCTATCTATCTATCTATCTATCTATCTATCTATCTATCTATCTATCTATCTATCTATCATATCTGTATAATAATCCTATTATATAGCATCCTATTATATATGATTCTGTATAGGAATTTATATTATGTCAGGCCAACTATATCTCTGTCTTGTATGGTACTTAATAACCTATGATGCGTCTTTTGCCTCTTTAGCAGAGATTTTTCACAGGGTAAATACCCAGTACTGATTATTTTTTACTTGGAGATGATAGGAATGTAAGCTAGACTTTTGGCACATCTACTTCTCAACTGCAACTCCTTCCCAATCAGTGCCAATAATTTGTTCTAAATCATCTGCAATGGACTTTGGAAGGCAAATGACAAAAATAAGATAATGCAATCACACCATAAGCTCTGCTCCTCTTGTACATGCACCGTGATGCTGGATGTATGTATAAAAGGGCCAAGCTTGCACTGCTTTGATCATTTGCCTTTCCACCTTGTGATACTATTTATATCATTTTATCAAAAGCATTGGATTCTGTGGATACCTGTGTATGATGCTAAGAAAATAGAAGTCTGTTCTTTTGGTTCCAAATTATAAATAATGCCAAGATTAATGAAATCTCACTCTGTTGAACCAGTAAAAAATTCTTTTGCATGCAGATTTTACACCTGAAAACTGTTTTATGTGAGTTAATGAGTCAACTTCTAATTATTGAAATCTGATAGGAAAAAGGGGATTAGTGATTGTATCTTACTCTACCTCAATCTATTTCAGAAAATAGGGTCCTAGTTTCTCCAAGTCTTTGCAGACAAAGAAAAATTTGACTTTGAAACTGGTCCTTAGTTTTAATGCAATACACTTGAATGATATCTTCCAGGGAATGAGTGTGTGTTGTGTGTGTGTGTGTGCATGTGTGTGTGATTCATGCAAATTTCTACCTGCAAATGGATTTTGTGTAGAAATAAACATTGCTTGAACGAACTCCAGTTTATATTACAACTTGTTTATTTACTTATAGCAAAATAGTTAAGTTGGATAATATTTACTTATTTCTTCAATTTATATGGCTGGCCATTTCAAATACATGGCTCTGGATGGCTAACAATGAATAAAAATAAGATTAAAAAACATTATAACCGAGTAATAGATCCCTATATGGACATATCAACACAGCAGCAAAGATAAAAAGCCAAACAATAGCATTTAACAGAGCCATGATATGGACTCAAATACAAAATCAGAGCCCCAAGCTTGGTTACAAAGTCAGGTCTTCAAGGCCTCACAAAAGCCACTAGGGTCAGGGCAAGTCTGGTCTCCATGGGAATGAGGGTCCAGAGGATAGGTGCTACAGAAGAAAAGACTTCCTGAGCCCCGCCAGGTAACATTTCCTAATAGATGGGACCCAGGGCTTGCCTCTCCTACCAGATCTAACAGGATGGATAGATCCTGGAAAAGAGGAGACAGTTCTGTAAGTAACTCAGCCCAATATCTAGCTATATAGATAACTACCAGAAGCGTAAATTGAATTGAATTTGGAAGCATAATGATAACCAATGCAGTCTGCAAAACAGAGGTGTCACATGCATGAAATGAAAGGCAGCTATCACTACTTGTGCTGCTGTATTCTGTACCACTTGAAAGCTTCTTCAAGGACAGCCCCATGTAATAATGCACAGTCCCATTGGGAAGTGACCAAGGCATGAATTATTATAAGCAGAACCTCCCAGTCCGGAAATGGATGTAACTGGTGTACAGAATATAATTGTGGAAAAGCCTTTCCATTTATGCCTGCCTGTTCTTAGAGCAGGAGCCAGGAATCCCAGAGTATTCCTAAATTGTTCACAGATTCCATCTGAAGTTTTGCAATCTCATTCAGAACTAAAAATGGGAGGCCCTCAGAACCAGTGGTTCCTAAAACCTAGAGCCATTTGGTCTTCCTAGAGTTGAGTTGAAGCCTCTTGTTCCTCATCTATACCCATAAACCACTGAGAACATTAATGACATCACTCAGATAAGCCAGGGTGGAAATATAAAGCTGGGTTGCCTTTGATCCCTCAGCCTGAACTTTTGGATTACCCTCTATGTAGATTTTTAGGAGAGGAGAGAGAATTGAGCCCTGCAGCACCTTACAAAAGGGGCCACAGGCCGTATCTCTCCCCTCACCCCTCAATAGCACTGGAACCAACCCTGAAGGAAAAAGGAGAGCCAGCCTCACTCTGCTGCCCACTCTCAACCTGAAGCTGGTCCGGAAGGATACTGTGATGGATGGTATCAAAAGCTGGGAGGTTCAAGAGGAGATTTTTTTTTCTGCCTAATATTTTAGTATGGGGCCTATTAAATATAGAATTGTCATCTTTTAAAATTTAAAAGTTTATGAGATGTTTTGTAACTTCTTTATGCTGCTTACTCCTCCTTCCCCCTGTTATTTTTGGAATAAAACTTTGTTAAATCTTCATAAAAATTTCCTGGATAAATTAGCCCTATACTACTAATCAATTCTAACCATGAACTTAATCGTGGTTAAGTGAAGATGTAATGCTGCATCGTAGTTAGCTCCAACAAGAAAATAAAGAAGGAAGAAAAATGATGGCTTATACAAGTAGTCCTTAATTTACCATAATTCATTTAACGACTGTGCGAAGTTACGATGATGCTGGAAAAAAGTGGCTTACAGATGGCCCTTGCACTTATGACTGTGGAGCTGGTCACATGATCAAAATTTGGGTGCTTGGCAACTGGCATGTATTTATGACAGTTGCAGCATCCTAGAGTCAGAGGCAAAGTCAATTGAAGAAAGCTAGATTTGCTTAATGAGGCATGGCACAAATTGTGCCATGGCACACCTGTAAAATCAGGTGTAACTCAACAACCACATTGCTTAGTGACCAAAGTTCCAGTCCCAATTGTGATTGTAAGTCGAGGACCACTAATAAATATGCTGGGGCAGATTTATGTCTCCATTGTGCCTTATGTTCTTTCATGCAACTGAAATTATTTGAAATTCAAGAAAGCTATGCAGATAAATACTTTATTTCTTCCTGCTGTCCAATGTATTTGTCAATTGAGTACTTATACCCAGATTATATTACTCAAGTGTAATCCCTTTTTTATCATCCACAAAGTAAATCAGGAGACTTCTATAATGCTTTGTGTAGTTAAATACTGGACCATTAATTTGTTTTGGCAACTGGGGATATCATCTATTTGAAAGTCTTTCTGGAAAATTACAGAACTGGCGTAGATATTTCATATATAATTCTAATGAACAAAAAGTCCTCAATTTACAACCACAGATGGGACCAGAATTTTTGTTGCTAAGGGTAGTACTTGACTTTTTTATTTCCCATTTCCTGTTTTTCATTTTTTGCAATCATTTTCTGTGCAACTCTTTCTGTTCTTTGCCGCAGTAGCATTTTACTGTCATCAGTATCTCTTTTGAGGACAAATGGCATTCCGATGCGCATTGCATGGTCTTTGGGCTCTAAATTGCTCTAAGTAATTTTTTTCTCTTCCTCCTCCCTCCTTCCTCAGTCTATTGCAGAAAACAATTGCTTCTTCATTACATAGTGCAGATAGTTTATCTGCAATTTGAAGGCTTTTGGGGGCAGGCTTTATAGAATATATTGATGAATTAAATGTATTTTATAAAGGGATATATAAAAGATTATAATGTAATGGTTTTTAAAATTATTACATTCTGTAGCTTTTTCTTCTTTGTGGTCTAATCCTCATACATATTTTACAGGGTCATGTAATATGTTTTTTTTTCCTTTTCTTTCTTTCTTTTTCTTGAATGGCTTTTTGGTTATCGAATCAGATGTGGTTTATATAATTGCAGTTCCAGTCTGTGCTAACATAGTCCATCACACTGCTTTTCCATTTTTTGAATGGAATATATTTCTTGTTCAAACTGTCAGATGCATTCATCAGCTTCTTATGAAAATATATTTAATGTCTTGATGAACAATAAATGTTGAATATAGTGTGTTGTTATCTTTTACTTAAATTTATTTACTTTGATTTACATTATTTTCAATATATGGCTATTCATTTCATATCTGTCTCTTTGAAATTTCTACTCATTCTTAGTTCCTTTTAATTCCATCTACCAAGGGACAGATGATTAAATAACATAAGACAAGTAACTCTTTAAATATGCATAATGAAATGAATATGTTATTTATGCCCCGTGAATCTCAAATCTTTTTCAATAATGTAGCTCATTTTAAGCTTCATTTTTGTAAAACGCTACTGAATTAAACCCTCCTCTCTTCTCTATCCCCCCCACCCCCTCAGGTCATCACAGTTCCACAACAGTTGTCCTCAGGTATTTCAGAAAGTGAACTCTCTGAAATGTCTCCTTCCTTGGAGCTTGGAACAGAAGAAGGCTGTCTCAGAGGAACAGAAATGGCTATCATTCCCAGTGCCATGGGGGAAACAGATGCATGTTGCACCACCTCTGAACAACCAGAAGTGGAGGAGACCTCTGCAACTGCAAGCAGCATGCAGTCCTGCTCAGAGCCATGGTCTAAAGGTGATGTGATCCAGAAGCAGCCTAGCTCTGACAGTGAACTTTCTGCACCCATGGGTGGTGGCAGCCTAGAAGGCTGGGAGTCAAACCAGCAGTCTCAAGAGGAAAGGGGCGGCACCTACCCAAAGAGGCGTAGTTCTCTTTTTTATTCAGCATCTTCTCCAATGAGCAGTGATGATGAATCTGAAATTGAAGATGAGGACCTGAAATTGGAGCTACAGCGTTTGCGGGAAAAGTAAGGGCACTAAGATTGAGTCTTATACTATAAAGATTTGCATTGTGTCAGTAAAATACTAGGTTGTGAAAAGAGTGGGATATGGGACAATTATATTTTTTGCTCCATTAAGATATTAATTGTGGTTTCTGTTTCGGGGATAGACTTTATCTGATAAAGCTTTATTTTATTAGTCTGAAATGATTCTTTTTGTTCTCAATTATCATTTAATTATTAATTACCTGTCAGCATGGAGCTATTTGCATTCAATGGTCAGTCATAAGTTATACATCAATTAGTCAACTGAATTTTCATAAATTTGCACATAATTACACAACTGAGTTTACATACTTCTGCACATAAATGAATCAGTACATTTAAAAGGAAAAACATTATTTTTAAATGGTACCTGTGCATCAAGACAAGTACGTCTTTAGAAGTATAATTTCATTCTGTGTGAAAGTTACTTTTCTGTGGGGAAACTTGTCAGCCATAGAGTATTTCTTACAAATAATTTTAATCACTCAAACTGGAAATGTCTTTTTAATAAATCACAAGATTACATCAGTGTAATAAGTGAGTTCAGTATTGCATCCCTGGTTACAGCATCTAATTGGACCCATTCAATACTACAAAGGAAGAAATAATCTATGACTACACTGGCACATTAGCTCCATAACTTATATTTTTCCACCTAAGACAGAACAGTAAATCCTTTGCTTAAAAAAAGAACAGAATAGAGAAAAAAAAAAAACCCAGCCAGTTCTCAACATAACTGAAATTACCACAGGATGCTCACTACTCGTGACCATGATGACGGTATCATAGATACAAAGCCAATCCATTTTTTCTCCCAGGGGATTCCATTATTCTTGCACTATTGTGCAAGAAATGCCTTGCAGCAGGTAATATAGAGGAAGCTCCTGGATTTTGAAACCACACAGTGGGCTGCTCCTGTCCATTGTCCTGGGGACATGATGCCTCAGTGGTTAAAGACGCTGAGCTTGTCAACTGGAAAGCTGGCAGCCCAGGTTCGAGACCCAAACACTATACAATGGGGTAAGTTCCCATTACTTGCCCCAGCTCCTGTCCACCTAGCAGTTTGAAAGCGTGCAAATGCAAGTAGATAAATAGGTACTTTGGTGGGAAGGTAACAGTGTTCCATGTGCCTTGGCATGTAATCACGATGGTCATATGACCACAGAAGTGTCTTCAGGCAATGCTGGCTTACTTGGCTAAGAAACAGACATGAGCACCGCCCCCTAGAGTCAGACACGACTGGACAAAGAAAACCTTTACCTTATCTTTATTCATTGTCAGAGCTAAGAGAAGAGATACTATGAGGCATTTCTATTCCTTCAGATAGACTGCAAAAAGTGCCATAACTTGGAGATACAACTTGCTTATTACACACAAGGACGCTTAGATTTATAATATTCTGTGAGGCAAGAAGGAACAAGAATACAAGCTAACAGCACATAACAATATAGGTATATGTCAACATTCAATCATAGGTTACATATAACATTCAATTTAACAGTAGAAAAGTTATTATTATGAGCATAGCTTATATAATCTTTCCAGATCTGATAAAAATGTGATTCATTCCTTTGAAAAGTCATTGTTTGAATTTCATCAGTTTTTCCATAAGACAAATTGAGCATACTTTTGCACATCAGTTATTCTCCAGCACAACGATTGGAGAATCCATAGCTGGGTTGACACATGCCAGTCTGCCTGGAGACTGAGTTAACGCCCTGATAAAAGATAACGGTAAAGGTTTCCCTTGCACACTCATGTCCGACTCTAGGGTGGTGCTCACCTCCATTTTCTAGCCAAGGGAGTTAGCATTGTCCGAAAACACTTCTGTGGTAATGTGGCCAGCATGACTATACACTGAGGCACATGGAACACTGTTACTTTCTCACCAAAGTGGTACCTATTTATCTATTTGCATATGCATGCTTTTGAACTGCTCTATTGGCAGGAGCTGGGGCAAAAATGGGAGCTCACTCCATCATGCACTATTTAGGTCTCAAACTGCCCACCTTCTGGTCAATGGTTTGAGACCCACCAGGTAAACTCCCATTCTTGCCCCAGCTCCTGCCAACCTAGCAATTCTAAGTAATAGTCCCTCTTCTAGAATACCTTTTACTTTTGCTTACTTCTTATTCTGACTTCTTTGAATGTTGTCTTCCAATAAGGTACCACTTTCACAAGTCCTCCACATATGGAAAAAAAAAAGTTCCCTTCTGATTGTTCCCTCCCTCCAGCATTTGATGAAGGTTCTTAAAATATCATAGTGGGAAAGGGGAGAAAGTGCTGTTTCCCCAGAGCAAGTCAGAGCACTGATTGGGATCCCTTCTCCAGCATTCCTGCCTCCAGGTGATGGTCTCATCCCATGAAGTAGTATGTCATGAAACATCTCTCCCTCACATCTTGAGCAAGCAAGATGAGAGTAGTCAAGAGGCCGTAGGCCTGAGCCACATAGTTTCATGCTCCCTGCTTTCCAGTGGGAGGTGACTATTGAGGTGAGAGAATCACTGAGAATGTATGTCTTGCCAAGGTTTTCTTCTTTTCCTCTGTTTCCATGAAGGCACATCCAGGAAGTAGTCAGTCTGCAAGCTCAACAGAACAGGGAGTTGCAGGAGCTATATGAACGTCTCCGCTCCATCAAAGATAGCAGGTCAGAATCCTCTGACATCTCCCTGCAACTGTCATCCCCACGGCGGCCTAAATCTTTCAAAAGCAAGCTGCGCAGCCGGCCACAATCTCACTCTCATGTCGACAATGGCATTGTTGCTGCTGGTAAGGAAATGCTAGTGGGAGCCATACACAAAGCTAGGGGCCTTTTTGAGGATTATCCAGGGGTTTCCTAATTCAGAACAAAAATGTTGAATTCACTAGTCTGTGGATGAATCCCTAGGATTTCATATTGTTTGTAAAGGTTATGTCTGTCAACTCAAAACACTTTTAAGACTTTCCCGTTTGCTACCTGGCTTTCTGTCCTTTTCCCTCCAATGAACTAAGACTATTTTCAACCTAATTTTCCTAAACAGATTTCGGCATATTGATTCTGAATGCAGTCCATGCCTTCATTATCATCCCCACAGCCAGCCTACTGCAAATGCTATTTTAGATGCTTCTGATTGTTTGTCTCTCTCTTCTCTGCCACCTAGAATGCTGTTGTGCAACCACTGCTGCCTCTGTGATTGATTATCAGTTGAGCATTCAAGCCCATTTGCTGCATCAAAGCTGTTCACAAGCAGAAACTAACCAAGGTATTTGCAAATATTCAAGGACAATTCAGATGCTAAACTTGTTCTCTTATTGTCAGTTCCCTTGTCCTTCTCACATAGAAATACGTCACAGATATTTGAATACTTTAATAGATACACTGTTATACTCCTGCTTCTTCTACTTTGTACATTACTTTGTAAAGTTCCCACTGTGTCTGAGGCAGCCTATAAGTATTAATGATTAAACAAGAATAAAATACATGGATAGGAAGAATCTGCATATAGGTCCCCATCATGACAGATTATGTAGCTGAAATTGGTTGGCAAAGTGGCTGATTTTTGCTTGTATGATATTGGCTTTGGGGGCTTTGGGAAAGTTTTAAGGATGGAAGTGCAAGACTTTGAGGAGATTAAATGCTTTCCTTCCCTCCCTTAAAACCACCCAGTCTTGTCACCCCAAATAAAATTAAAAATGGGCAAATATGTTCAGCCCCACCCCTTTGGATGACAATATGATACTGGAAGATCTTTTCCAGACCACAAATAGGGCAAGAATGGTTTGCAAGACTCAGAAGTTGCTTGTCACCCAGGTTCAATGTTTTGATACAACTACTTGAAGAATACCTTCTAAAACCTTGCTCCTTCTTAGAACAACTCTGCATCGTGAGTAGCACTGCCTCTTGTCAGCAGACAACAGCCAGTAAAAAAGGAATGTTCACGGATGATTTGCATAAACTAGTGGATGACTGGACTAAAGAAAAGGTGGGAAATTCCCTTATCAAGCCAAGCCTCAATCAAATCAAACAGAACAAGCACCGGCTGGATACTGACAGCTGGAGCAAAGTATATGAGGTAAGAGGTCTTTACATACAAGGTTTAGAATTTGTGATGTATTAGATTCACCTTTCTCAATCTGGTACCTTCCAGATGTGCTGGGTTTGTAACTTCCCAAATTCCCAACCGCTGCAGTCAAAGGGAAATCTGGAAATTGCAATTATCCTCCCCTAATTCAAAGGAGCCTGGTAGGCCAGGAGTGTCAAACTAGCAGCCCGTGGGCTGGATGCATCACATGCAGGCCACGCCTATCCCAGCTCTGCAAAGAGAAATAACATTGCGATACATCACATGACTGCAATGTAACGCTGCAAATTGACACCCGTGTGGTAGGGTATTGGCTATAATAGATACCCTTCAGTGTAAACTTGCACTGTTGATTACCTACAGTATAATTCGATCTTTATCTAATTGTAGATGAACCTCATTTATAACTAGAATTAGGAACTCACAAGTAAAATCTACCACAGAATGATGTAGCCAAAACAGTTTGTGAAATTTTGTGGCATGACCTGAAGTTGATCAGCTTCCAAATACCTTCAAGTAAATATGCAAAATTGATCAAGAGGCACAGAAAACATTTGTTTGGAGTCGATACATACAAAGTACCACCATTCCATTAATAAATGGAAAACACATGTTTTCCTAAGGAAAATGGTGAGTGTTGCTTTAATGTATTGAAGCACAATGTAAAGCAACAACATTATTTTGTATATGGTCTGTTTAACTAAACTCTATTAATAGGTAGATGAAACTTGGGTCACAGTATTACAAGATTATGGTTAATTCTAAAGGGTTTAATTTTTTCTCTGATAATTTTATGGTAAACTAAAGTCATTGTCCTGATGGGGTATTTTTAGACTTGTCACATATCCCTTTGATTAAACTATTTTCACTCTCTGTATTTTCTGAAGTTTTCTCATAAATGGCAGACGATCCATTCTAAGCTAAAATAGGTTGCTATTTTTCACCACCAATGTATTTGATCAGTTCAGTCCTATAGATTGCTATAGGACTATAGGCTATATATTCTTCACAGTTTCAGATCTAATATAACTCAATGGTAGGGGGACATAAAAGAGGATGTTATTGTGCCTATATCTGCATTTCAACTTTCCAAAAACATCTGGTAGATCACTGGGGTCGGGGGGTGGGGGGCAATGCTGGAATAACTCTGATTCAGCCAGATTTTTCGGTTTTATGTGATTTGCTGAATAGATCACAACCAGTAGGAGATTATTATTACTATTATTATTATAATTATTATTATTTCTGAGTACATTGTCTCTGTTTAAAGTCCAGGTGCCCTACATGAATGATATTGGAAAGCAGCAGTCTTGCACACAGACTTATGTTATGGATAGCTCTGGGATTGGTGAGCTGGGAGCAGATACTTAGAAAGGAAGTAGTGTTACTAGGATATTAGAAGCTGAAAGTGAAAATCTCTACTACGTGGTAATGTTTGTTCAAATGTGTGCACCTTTCACTGCATCTTCAATCCTCTTCCATTCTCTTCTGTTAGCAGATACTGTACTATTTAAAATCAGAAAGATGTGCCACAGGCAGCTGTTGAGTATGTTTCCTTGCATTTAAAATAGTTTCTGTTTTCCCTTGTGTTTAAGACAACAACATCTACTGTGGGCTACACCTCCACATGGATTTCCTCACTTTCCCAGATCCGCGGGACTGTACCAGCTGCTTTACCCCAAGGACTTCCCCTGTCACCCTTTTCTGGCACACTATCGCCATATGGAATACCACATTTGTGCCAGTATAACACCATCGCAGGAACAACTTACCCAGTGCAATGGATGGGCATTTCTGGGACAACTCAACAATCTGTCGTGGTCCCTGCCCAAACAGTGGGACCCTTTCAACCAGGGATCAGCATGCCAGCATTTCCAGCATCACCCGTGCAAAACCCAGCTCCCATTCCCCCAAGTCCCAAATGAAGATGGATAGCAAAAGAATGCTAGATAATGGGGACTGTGCCTATCTCTCATGACTCCATTCCTCTGCCTTGCATTCTGCTGCCTGGATTTGGGGCGTGAATTCCCCAGTGCAGTGATGTGGGAATGGTAGGAGATTGTCTTTGCATTCTCCTCTTTGAATACTTGATTTCATTTTCTTTAGGGGATTTTTTAAGTACTTGAGAGAGCTTTGGCCTGTACATCTCTTTGTTCCTGAGATGGACAGCATGCCATAGGCTGCTTATTAATAAGCCTTCCCTGTCATTCCTGCCACATATCCCTTGTTTGCTTTTGTGACAACTGTTTTTTGAACTTGGTAGTAACTCTTCTTGGATTATACACTTACTAGCATTTGAATTCATTTACAGAATGGAAGGGATCAGCAAAGAAGAGTGACATTTATATTTGCATTATCGTTATGTTTCCTCTTAGTTTCATTGGCAGCTCATACTACAGGCTAACTGAGGATTAAAAAAAAAGATTGTAGTTTGTTTAGTTGAATTCTATCATAAACTCTTCCTTCCTCTGTCTCAGAGATAGGCCTTTTGGAAGTGAAGCATTGCTGAAAGAAGAGGCATACAGTTGCTGCCTTCTCTTTGATTTGGGAAAACTGTCCTGGACAATTCAGAACTATTTGTAGAATGCAACTAGATGTCCTTACACACACTGTATTCAGTAGATACATTGGAATGTTGGCCTGGTTTATTGTACCTGTGTTTGGGATTCTTTTTTTAAAGCTTATTTTGCAGCTGATACAAATCTTATATTATGGAATGGGTAGTGGGGGGAGGAGGTAGCATTGGAAAGGGTGGGAACTAGGGCTGGGGAATTATTGTGGGCCTTTTTTTAAACTTGTCCCATCTTGGTCATTTTCACATCATTTGTGATCCATATTCAGCATTTCTTTGGTTGTTGGACAATGATTATAAATTGAAACAGGGTCTAGTGCACATAGTTTTTGCATTTAATGGATTGCCTTACAGCAGATTAGTGAAATACAGTCTCCTAGTTTAGATGCCTAGTGTTGTTTCTCAAGAGCATTAAAGGTTTTAGTATCTACTGAATTTAATTACCAAGGTGCACGATTAAGCAGTCCATCTTTACATTTACAAATTAAGAAAATTCTACAGGTATATATGGCAGTAAGGATGTGGTGCTGGAATCCCATTTGGCAGGCTTTCTGTTTTTTAGTGCTGCTAATTGGATGTCACGTAAAGAAAAGTCTAAAATTTACCAGTTCAAAATCCTTAAAAGGTATAAAAATTTGCTAAATAAAGAGGCATCCTCCCTTGGAGGTATATATTTCATATAATCATTAATTTTATCAACTGCATTTCAGCTGCCCATGTGAAGATTGCTGTTATGCTTTCACCTTGATAGAGAATTAGCTTAGTTTAATGTTACATGTTTAACTTAATTGGCTGTAAAGTATGAGGGAGGTCATAATTCACTGGAGCTAACATTCCTTGTTTTCTCTAATACATAATCAGTTTATTCCTTTCTTGTTGGAAATCATATTCTTATGTGCACTCAGAAATCGCTTCTTTTGTTGCAAGTCTTTCAAGCACTTGCTGAAATAACATCTAGCTCACTTCCCCCTTCATTAATCTATAATGAAAATTGCTACACTTAATTTAAAATTCAGACTTGTTATTATCTTTTGGATATTATAATATAGCTGCCATATTTGCAGCTAATATTTGAGCAAGTGATAGAAGGAGGCTTAATTTCATTAAAACTAAGACAAAGTATTTAAACTTCAAGTAGTTGAATTTTATCTAAAAGACCATGCTTACATCCAAAATTAATGGACCATTGGTTTAATAGTACTGTGGCCAGGAATATCTGAGTTGCTGTTATTTAAATCAGTTTCAGATACCAGTTACTTGTTTTTTTGTTTTGTAAAACAGCATCTGTAGTTTAGTGATATAAGACTATATTTCTCCCTTCTGCATTCTGGACAAAGATTCTGCTTCCATTGTTTAATGTAGCTTCTTTGTTCTGCCTGCAAAGATTTGCAGTGCCTTGTAATGGATAACCTTAGTATCTTTTCAGAGTTTTACTGGAAAGTTGAAAAAAAATAGTTATAGCCTTTTGATTCTTGAAAAGTACATTGCTGATTTGCAGCAGTAAAATCATATACCTTAAAGAAAGTTTCACTTTGAAGAACTTAGACAAGAACAGTGTTATTTTTTAAAAAAAGACATACTTATGATTTGTGCGAAAATCAGTAGTGCATTTCCATGAGCAGAAACAGTTTCCACTCGCAGAGCAGTTGAGAGATGATTATGCCTCTTCCTACAGCCCCATCTGTGCCTTTATAATCTGCTCCATAAGGAAGGAGGGGGGTACAAAGTGAGCAGACAGCTGATTGCATGACATTTGCTTCCATCTTTTAATATTTTTCCACTTTAAAGTTTTTAAAATAAATTCTTTGTCAGCAATTCACTTTGACTTGTAGGAAAGCATAAAATGCTGTATTCTAGTTTGCTGTTATGTAACTTAATCTTCATAAAAATGCAAGCCACCAAGTACCCATGGTGGCCTTAAAGGTTGATTTATCTATATGAAGGATCCCTGGCCCATTTAGCTCTCTCAGGCACACAAATTGTGTTTCTGTTATGAAGTGGAAATGTGATGTAACACTGGTACATTTGTGCAATCCTGATTATTGACTAAACCGTAGAGTGTACTTCAGTGTTGGAGGAAAACCAGTGTAACAATACCAGCTCTATATATCAGGGTTACATTTGTGCTGATTTTCTGTAGAATGAGGACAGGGTCAGCTTAAAGTGCTGTGTATACATTGAATTTCTACCTTTCCTCCTTCATAAAATAGCCTCTCCTTGCTGCTTTTCTCTTGGTGGAATTTTAAAACCAGGATATTCCCACTTGCAAAAAGCAATTTTGAAGAGAAAAATTGTGTACCTCTTGCCTTGCCTATGCTGCTTCTAATTCAATTACTGATTTTCATGTAGAATTGACATAACTCATAATCTGATGTAGCTTGTCTCAGTTGAGGATTACAATATATATTGCTTCTTTATT